TATATATCGAATATATTTAATCCAAAACAAAAACTTTGAGATTATAAACTTATCAAAGGAAGTAAAAATCGTTTCGAAATGAACTTTTCTTGATCTTGCAAAGTTAAGATACCATAAGAGAAACATGAACCCTATCTACAAACTATAAAATCCCTCATTAGAAGTTAAATTTTTCTTAAAAGTAAAACAAATCCAGTAGTTCTCAACAGCACTTGGCAACCCTAATCAGCACCTATCTTGGCCATAAACATATACGAGTATAGGAGCATATTCAAAGTGCTGGCCTTAAATTTCAGCTTTGGCGTCGGCTTCTCACGTCACACCCCCGGGACCACCTTGCAGCTGCCGCATTCGCTTATTTTCGTTCGTTTGTCATCATTTTTTCAATAAATTTCAATTTCCAGGTTGCAGACCCCTTCTCCAGAGGAAGGTATCATGCCTGGAGGGGACCAGGAAGAGGGGGGATCAGAGGCAGCCCGTATCGTATCCTTCGTCCACTTGGACCGCCTGTGAAATCCGAAGTGTAAAATTGATTTAAATGGCTCGTGAGTGAAGGAGATAATTTTCAGTTGTCAGATGCTTGTAATATTTATGTGGCAGCGATTATTATCCCCCGTCCGGCGAACCCCTCGGCTCCATAGCTTGGGTACGTTGCCCGGCCCCGAGATCGTTTAATGTTACCTGCGCGTGAAAATTACTTACTTGTCGACCGCTGCCACCCCCCTTCCACCTGGTGGCACCCAGGGCAACGCTTAACTCATTTTTAATATGAATAATTGTGGCAAATTACAAGGCAATTGCATTGGGCCCCAGTCCCAGTCCCCCGCCCACCGGCCGTATCAAGAGGCGACAGCGAGTGAATGTAAGTCCGTAATTGAATTGGCAGCCAATTATCGGAAGGAGATTGTACGGACTTGCTATTGGGACGCGTGAGAGAACTTTTAAATTTCCGGTGGGCTGACGGTGGTGGGTAAGTGTGGGGAAGGAATACATTAGTTTGTGTCCAGGGAAAGGGCACATTGTGCCTTTTGGGTGCAATGAAGCAAGTGGTTCCTTGGTTTTGGAAAGAAGGTTTTGCCTTTTTCAAGATAGAGTGTTAAGATATATGACTACCATGTCATAACACTTTAATTCAATTTAACAAAGTTTAGTTTATTTATCTATACTTCAAAATAATCTATTTTAATGGGTTTTGTCTATCATCATATTTAGACATTTTATTGATACATTTTTTACACCACTTGCATATCTTAACCTGTCGATATTTTAGTTCTTCGAAGCAAGTGTTATGCCACCAAAGCTGTTAAAGCTAATGAAAAAATAATAAAGATTGCAAAAAATAAAGATCAGATTAAAAAACACTTACAAGTTTTGCAAGTAGAATTGTTTTTTTAGGGGTGTACAGGTCAGGTACAGGCCATATCTTTTATCTCGGTACCACGTAGCCTGGCATCAGATTTGTGAAACTTATTTTCGATAATTTAAAATAAAAATATATTGTTGATCAGGCTTACTCTCCTAATAGTTATATCCGTGTCCGTCTGTTCGAATAGAAAGTTGCTATTAAGCATTGCTATTCTGTGAATATTAACAATCTGGATCCTGCCCACCAGGCTGAATTTACACCATGTGATCTCGGTGTTTGGGCACATTTGGGGTTTGAAAATGTAATTTATGTATAATTTAAAATACAAAATAAAAGCGGCATTTTCTGCGTGCCCAGGGCAATTTATATAAATCCTGCCATGACGCCCACTATAACACCAGAAAAGCATAAAAAATTAGTTTTGTTAGCAAGGACTTTTGAATAAATACATATTTATTTCTTCAGTAACTATCGAATATTATGAAATCGATTGTTAGTTTTTAAGTTAATAGGAAATTCATAACTGTGAATTACATTCATTGTCGTTTGAAATAAATAACATGGATTTAAGATCAGTTAACATAAGACATGGTGATAACAACTGGAAGTATACTAACTTACTTACGGGCATGAAGGCGATGAAAAAATGGTTTATCTGTACATAATATCTAGTTAATGTACTCAAAAAGACAATCAGACTGATGGTTCCTGTGATAGTTGATTAATATTATTGGAGCGACCCTTTTTCAACATACATTTATATATATGCTAATAAAAGTTTACAGATGTTTCATACTAACATAAGTATATGATTCCGTTTAGATATACTAATTTACAGTAGAGTTAAAAAATTAATAGGATAAGTTTTAACCGTGGTTGTCCCTGAATTATGGCATTGATAACAAGCATAAAAAGAAAACCATCGCCACTAATTTATGATTAGCCATGAAAATGAACAACTAATCCCGACGAACTCAAAGCTAATTACCCACACGTACCACAAAAGGGGTTCGATTCACGCGGTGCCGAGATTTATGGCGCAAAATTAATAATAATTTCAACCGAATTAATAATGGCCAATGAAGCCAGCTTTATGGCCGGTTCCAGATGATTAACAATGTGCGCACGATTCGGAATGGAGGATCATAAAGTTCAACACGATTTGGCTGTTTGTTTACCATTTCTAATAAGCTGCAGCGGTGCCTCATAACGCGACTCCTCGGGCGCCTGGAGTCTCCGGGTCCGGTGGAAAAGTCAAGGTGGAAGGGCGGGGAGTGAGGAGGCTCATTGTTTGCCCGGAGGCCCCTCATGGTCCTCACAGCAGGTGTCCGGCGGAGAGTTTAGGGGCGCGTGTGCCAGCCTCGTTATTGTCTTCATTCTTAACACCAATGGGCAGGGTCGGGGTACACGGGGGCCCCCCATCAAACAGATGACGATGATGGCACTTTCTCCATCCCTCGCCTTTCTTGGACCACAGAATTTGGTGTTGATCGGTGCATTGTTGGGTCTGTTGCCTCGTTTTTCTCATTCATGTTGGACAAGATTTTTATCGGAGTTTTTCATTAACATTTTGTGGGCTCTCGTATCTGTGCCCGCTGTTCGCTGCCTCCATTCGACTTTGTTTTATGTCCATCTTTATGTGTTTTCTGGTTCTCCTGACATTCCCAACTGTTGTCGTTGCCGTCTGTCCCTGTGTCTTTCTAATTCGACTGAAATATGATCTGTTATTATGTAAATTTTACGATTTCCTAATTTTTTAACACTTATTTTGGTTATTTGGTGACTGTCGAGGCCTGGCGCCAAAAATGTACCTATCTGAGATGCTGTAAGCGATACTGGAATCGGCCAGCGGGGAAGATCTTCAGTTAGGATCTTGTGGGCAGTTGCCGATCTTAGATTAGGTGCCTCAGCCTGGCGCCCCATCAGTCCGTCAACTTTGTAGGGCTTTCTATCAAATTTCTCAGTTTCATTTTTGAATTTGCATTTTGGGTGGTCCTCGATGGGATATCCATGGCACACGCTAAGATCGAGCTACCGATAGATGCAACTTTTTCTCAATAAAAAAACTAAGAAAGTTATACCATGAAGGGTTATTATCAATGGTTTGAGGGAAAAAGTGTATTTTTAAAAAATGGTTTTGATAAATTTATTGATACATAATACTTGGTGAGATTATCGATATTTAGCCATCTCGATCAGTTACTTTTAAAGCCTAAAAAGTATTACCAATCATCAATAATACTTGGATAAGGGATAACGGAAGACTCATCTTAACATAAATCATCTCAGATAAGCTCTTAACGTTTACGAGATCCTAATATTCTGTAACTTTATTTTCAAGGAATCTAGGATAATAACTGTCTGAAATAATTTATGGGATGAAAGTAACTATATAACCACAAAAGATTTTTAATATTGTTAAATACGCAGTTGCAGTTGTTTCACTTAACTCAAAGTTTGCTCTGACATTGAATCATTAAAATCATTCCATAATCTTTATAATTAGTTCCAAATGCGTAATCCCGATGAGCTTAGATACCACTAAATATGAAGAAGTAACGCAATTCCTGCCGTAATGTTCGAAGAGGAAAAGACAGTAATTGCAATTAAATGGGATATGCAAGGCCCATTTGCGGTGGATAATTTAAATGGGATTCCAGGATGCAGGTACATCACTAAGCATCCTTTGTTTGACCAGGAAGAAGGAGTTGCTGGGGAGGAGTTGCGATGCAATTACAGTTACCTTCGATTTCCGCCTTTCAATATGGCGCCCAATGCGCATGTTGGTTCGCTGTCGTGCGACTTCCACTGACCAATCAGCAAGTTGTTGTTGCTCCACTGCCTGAGTGTGCGTGAGTGTCATACTGTTTATGTGTGCGTCTGTGTCGGGGAACAGGTAAGCTAAGGGGGCGTTATTCTAGCCAACCTGTTTGCTTGCTCTCTCGCTCTTTCGCTCGCTACGCGTTTCGCAGTGGCTGCAAAACTGTGAGGCGATCGCACTGTGGGAAAAATATTATTTTTTTTGGGTAATAATTTCATAAGCCTTTCAGGTGCACAAAATGTCATTTAGATGGGAAAATGGGATACAGTCAAATGTCCTCCAAAATAAGTGTTATTAATAAATATATTTGGTGAACTTCAAAGGATTAATTTTAAAATAAATAAATAAATTTTACTATATTTAAAGATTCTATTTACTTTGGTAAGTAAGTAAGTAATAGTTATCCAAATGTTTACCCATTTCATATTTTCGAAGACATTTTATGCTTATTTAATCGTTTATAACATGGCAAATATAATATTATATTATTGGTTTTCCAACAGATTATTTTTTTTTTTTGAAAATTGATGTCAAAGAGTACAGGGATATCAACATAATAGGCAGTTTTACTTTTACAAATGTTGTTATTAACAATAGCCACAAAAATCATTGATGTGCTCCACTGTGCATTGTGCCTTTTCACCCCCTTGGTGCTCGCTTACTCATACACTCGCATCAGCCGTCAACCATCTCGTTCTAGCGCACGCACACTGACGAGGCAGCACCAACCATTTTCTGCTGCTATCGCGGCCGTTTTCGGTTCGCGGAGGTTTGAGAACCGGAGAGTTCTCAGTTGTTTTCGAGATTCCGTCGCGTGCGGTTCGCTGCCCGATCTCCCCACGTCGCTCGCTCAGCAATCCAGTCCGGATCCGGATCCGGCGGTCTTTCGAAGTCCCGCGCACAAAGTAAACACATATATTTAATTCCCAATGAAAGAACGAATCCGCTTCCAATCCACGCACACAAATCGAGAAATAGGATAAAGATATTCAAGCTAATCAATCCGCTGGCGGCCATTTTTTGTTGGCACTGTTTCAGTGCTGTCGTCGCCGAATTCGCCCCTCAATTTGTAAGTGCAATTTGTTCGAGTCACGGCAGAACAGCAAAAAGTTTCCTCGAAAGAATATAATTTGCAACACGTGTTAACACATAGTGCGTTTGATAAATATACATATGCCCCACGGTTTTCGTTGTGTGAGTGCGCCAGTGTGAGTGAGTGTGCGGCACATGTTTGAAAATTTGAAAAGTTTGGCAAAAATGCAAAACGAGGGAAAACCACACGGCGAAAATCATCGTTTGTTTTGCCACTTCTAACATTTGTGGATATAGCCCAATCAGCATCATCGAATCGCAGCAACAAAAGCACAAATCCAAACAATAAAAGTAACAAACAAAAACTAAAAACAAACACGGATACGTATCAACAATAAATAATCAAAATACAGGTGAGCAGCGGGATTGAGTTTCGACGGGTCTTCATGTTGCCGACGGCAAAAAGTTTACTCTCGAAGAAAGGCATAGCTAAAGTTATGCCAGAGCTATAAATAAGTTTTATACTTAAACAAAAAACTAAAACTTATATTTAGCAAAGACTTTCATTTCTTTTTTACTGGAGCATAAATCTTTGGAAATATTTTTAAATGGGCTAAGATTCTTATGCAGAATGGTTATTATATTTCGATGGCAACTTTCAATAAATGGGTTTAAACTAAAATCTTTCAGTGATTCAATCTTTTATTAATCAATTGCTTAATCAATAACTTTAAGTCCATGAGAAAAAGAATGTTAACAATCAAGATTTAGGTTTTTTACTACGATTTTCATTCAAATTATTTGAGTGTTAGGCGTTTATTCCCTACTAAAATAAACTCATGATTAATCCAAGTACCAATAATTTTAGCAATCACTTTAAAATTACTCATTTATATATCCACAAAACTTAAAATAACTATATTTCTATGCTTATTCCACTAAACCAACCCCTTGAGTTTAATATAAATAACTTAATTAAAAGATCTTCGGAGTGTTTTTGAAAGCTTCTAAGATGTGCGCGGAACGGAGCCATCAGAACAGTCCATAAATGTCAAGACGTATCTTTTCCCGTTTTCTAATGGATCAATCTATCATAGAAGCCAAGGCATCCACAACTTGTTGGCCATTTGAACTGGGGAAGAAGAGAGCCGAAGTGCAATTGGCCTTTTGGCGGTTATTTCCTTGGCAAATTCCAAATAGCCAGCAGCCATTGGAAAAGCAACTCGAGGCACTTGAGAAATAATTCACAGGAAAAAGCACGAGAATTGCATGTTTACATATAGATTTGGAAATGAAAACTTGTTTACATGGAAAATGCGAAATTCTTTTCTTTTATTCACCTCCCAATATCGAATATTAATCGGCCCACTCAATCCAGAAATATTTATTAATTAGAGGAAAAGTAGGGGATCGAAAGAAAAACCGTTTCCAGTTGTCATTCATTCATCACCGAGATGTTTCACACCCGCATCTCAGTTTGGTACTCGAATCCATAGGACACCGTGTTTATTTATAAAACAGTTTGTCTTTATCATTTCGATTTTTGCTAGAATTTTGAACATTTTATGAACTTATCGTGAGAGGCAACTGTAGTGCAGAAAGAGAGGTGAGTGGGTGTGGGGCCAACATTAGTCCGGTTAAATACGAGACTCGTTTCGGGGATTGGAAACGTTTAAACGAATTGGTCAGCGCGTGTTTGTCGTCAGAAGTCGCATGATTAATTGAGTGCGGAGATGGGAGCAGATGTTGCGTACGATTCTGTGAACCTATTTGTGGGAAAAGTCGTATGTTGGAACATCTTGATCTAGATAGATTCCATCTCGGAAGTGGCCAAATTGACAAATTTACGCATTCCATTCGGCCAGAGGACTCGACCTAGCAGATGCAGATACGCAACTTTGGCCACCGCAGCTTTGATCATTTTACGCACCGGCGTGCAGAATCCGTCGTAATTTGGTAGCAATTCAGCAACGGGCGGTACTTTCAACAGAATTCCCTTGAGTTTCATTCAAAGTTTGGCCAAATGTAGCGCAGCAAGGCGAAAAGTAGCCGAGAGGCAGCCAGATACAAAGATACATGTGTGTGCAACCCATTAAATTGACAAATTTCATTCATTACGCCGCGTTCTATTCGATTTCTTTGTGCGTTGCTCCCTTCACGCGGCAATTAAACGGAAAATGTTAAAAATATCTCGCTGTATTAGTGTATCTCTGTCGGGTGGCGATTGTCTTGGGCTGCACTGGCTGCACTGCTTACTAATCCTTACAAGCGGCCAGCCCGCTGTTCGAATTACCCGGAACGGGGGCTGGCCCACAACAGGTTGCTTGGCACAAGGCTTCCCATTCCCATACCCATTCGATTACATTGTATAAACACAGACGCCGGAGCAGATGATTTCGATGTTATCCGCAGAAAACAGGCGCGTTGCTTTCAGATTTCGATGGCCCCTGCTCCAGGTTGAGCTGAGGTTTCCTAAACCTGGGGGACAGTTCACTGGCAAAGCTCTGGGAGTGTGAAGCTCATTACGGGAATGCCCCTAAAAGTGAATCACGTAGAGTGAAATCAAATCGACTAGTCGACTAGTGCAAAGGGAGTCTCGAGTTTTATTGTAAGTGGACTTTGATTACAAACTAATTAGGCGGTTCCAACAATTCAATTTGATTAACACTCCGAAAGAATCCGGAGATGGAAGCTTAGGTGTCTGCTCTCGAATTTCAGGCAAACTCCAACAGACAATAACACTCAAATTAAAATCTTATAAAAGTCAAAACAAACAATGGGGAATGGAGGGCAAACACGACACAGAAACAGATACAGAAATCCGATAGATAGCCCAGCTCTGGAAATAAATTACGAAATTTGTAAAATAAATTAAATTAATTTTATTCGAATGCCACAAAAGTCAGGCAGAAGGCGATAAGAGATCTCCCACAAGGGAAATTAAGAGGCAGCCAAAAGATGCAGCCACGATATCATCAGATACAGTATCTTTCGGGGCAGCTGCCGTAGCTGCTGGTGTTCTTACATAGTTTTGGGGCAGGGTCCGCGGTTCGTGCAACGGTACAGGGTCATAAACGTTGGTATGCTATCTAGCAGCTACTTCTCGAAGCTTTTAGATGGTTTATTATGACCAAATAACTTTGAAATCGATCATAGAACGGCTTTAAATTGAAAATTTCATATGGGGATTTCTACTCTTTAAAGATTGCCTACCAATCTGATCTGTGATTAGCAAATTGATCTCGAACTTTCAAGTTTCATCTGTGAAATACATCTGGGATCTAATACTATACACTCCATCAAGACCACTGCATATTGTATCTATCGAATACCATCCACTTGTGTGTTAGCCAAAACAGATTGAAAATTTATCGCGTATTTCGTTTCACGTTCGCATTTTGCTTGTTTACTTGCGTCAAACATGAAACAGGCCAACAAAAATACAAGCCACAAAGAAAAAGAATCCCAGCGAGCTGAAGAAATTGGAAAGAAATCCACATCCACCGGGCGAATGAAGAGAAGGAGGCGGCTGCGGGGGATCTGGCCTAGGCCGATGACTCAAGAGCAGCCAACTTGGCGTTGGTATTTTCGTTACAGCAGCAGCCAAACCGAAATCTCTATTTTCTTGTTTTGTGTATATAATCTGGCCGGCATACACGAGAACTGAAACTGAAAACAGATCCAAGAATATCTCGACTCGACTCGACTCTCGATATATGAGTATCGGTGGTCGGTGTGGGGTATGGATTTGGTTTGGGTCTCTATATATCTACATCTATACATGTGGATATATTGCTATATCTATATCAGTTTATCTGGACAGAATGGCCAAGAGGAAAGATCGATTGCAAATATCAAAACATCTATAAAATGCAGTCGAGATATTCTATCTGGGGGATACATGTGGGGGCCTCTCGCGATGGCAACAGCGTCGCTGGCATCACTGGCGTCGTCGCCGTCGTTTGGTAATTTTAGAAATATTCTTAGAACCGAATACAGAATTCTGAAATCAGAGGAATACCGAAAACGAAACACCATGCGCCCCATATATTATGTAAAGAGTTTATTTTTGTAAGAGATCTCTTGGTCGGGTGCGGACAGGTTAGAGAGCTCCCAACGAGCTCCGCTCTGACCGAGCCATATTTCCGATAATCGAACATATCGCATTAATAATTGCCGCGGGTCTTAGTTAATCATGTTTGACAACATGGGGTCCATTCGAGGCTGTGTTTTGATTTCGATTTTTGGCTTTAGATTTGGATTTTGGAAATTGAATTTTGGATTTCTTATTTCCAAATCGCTTATGAATATGGCAAATTAAAGCAGACACACGCTTGTTTTGTTTAACATTTCCCAAAAGTATCAAGGGGGGAAAATCACTTGCCATTCAATGGTAATTTCCACAGTTTTATGTGCCTCAATTAGCGTTGTTTCAATATTAATCCAATCCGGCAATAAAAAGATGAAAAGTCGGTGGGTTAATTAGTTTGATAATTATGCAAACTAGGTGTTGCAATCTGGGATGCCTGAGGGTGTTAACTTCTTACCTTCTTAGTGTGATTAAAACACGCAATTTATCATAAACACTAACTTATTCTGTTGTTTTTCTAATTATTTTTAAGTAATTTAGCTTTAATGTTTACTTCGATATTTTTAAAAACATTTCCACTACTTACACCCAACTTATCCCATGATTTTTCTTAAACTTTCTTTTCAGCGCTCAAAAAACCAAAGAATTAAGCAAATATTAGTTAAGGTTTATCAATATACTAGTTCATCTAGACGTTCACTTCTGGAGTCCTTGATATTGACCCCACAACAACCCATCCAAACCTTCGATTCCCGCAGAAAATGTTACAGCATCCCGCCACAGATTTCTACGATTTGGCGGCGGCCAATGCCGCTGCCGTTCTCACCGCCCGCCACACGCCTCCTTACAGTCCCACGGGCCTCAGTGGATCCGTCGCTCTGCACAACAACAACAACAGCACCACCAGCAACAACAACAACAGCAGCACATTGGATATCATGACGCACAACGGTGGAGCAGGCGGTGGCCTCCACTTGAACAGCGGCAGCAATGGAGGCGGCGGGGTGGTCAGTGGCGGAGGCTCTGGCGGTAGGGAGAATCTGCCAAGCTTCGGCTTCACCCAGGAGCAGGTGGCCTGCGTCTGCGAGGTAATAAGATAGAATGTATTAATGATAGAGATAGAGCAGGAATAGAGATCCTTAAAAGTATGTACCTAATAGGGGTCTTAGTAGACCTTATAACCTTGATAAAGCTATCTGCATTTGTACAATTTATTGATATTTATTGATGATAAGCTTTAAGCTATTAAGACGCCTGATTACTTAAGATTCTTCTGGAATCATAAGACCAAGATCGCAATTCTTGTTGGTAATTATTATACCTTGATTTAATACAGAACAAGAACAAGAATTAGAATTTAAATCGAACTACTTTAAAAAATATTTTTACTAAATAAAAGTAAACAAATTCAAATTTCTTTTACAGGTTCTACAGCAGGCGGGCAACATTGAAAGACTGGGCCGCTTCCTCTGGTCGCTGCCACAATGTGATAAGCTGCAGTTGAACGAGTCCGTGCTGAAGGCCAAGGCGGTTGTTGCATTCCATCGCGGCCAGTACAAGGAGCTGTACCGTCTGCTCGAGCATCACCACTTCTCGGCCCAAAATCACGCCAAGCTCCAGGCCCTGTGGTTGAAAGGTGAGCCTCGAACTCCTGCTTAACCCCAAAAATGTTCCGAGTGGAGTAACCAAAATGCATTCCCCATTCCTAACTCCTCCTCTTCCATTCTACTCTCCGGCTGTAGCGCATTATGTGGAAGCCGAAAAACTGCGCGGAAGACCCTTGGGTGCTGTTGGCAAATATCGTGTTCGCCGTAAATTTCCATTGCCCCGCACCATCTGGGATGGCGAGGAGACAAGCTACTGTTTTAAGGTGAGCATTGAGCATTGAGCACTGAGCAGCGAGCGACTAGGGCGACTCCGAGTCGTCCTGGGCCGCTTTTCATTTTAATTGTGGCAAGCGCGGAAATCGTACAACTGCCCGCTCGCCTGTCTGATTGCATGCAACTGAACTGCCTGATTCCGCTGGGGTAACGCCTTTCGAACATCCTGGACAGGAAATGTTTTGTTTACTTTGTGACGGGCTTTCAGATGATTCGAAGAGATTATGGAGGCTTCTGAAGTAGCACCTTTTAATGGAGGAAAGATATTTGCATAGAATTGAATAGGAAAATACTGACTTTCATAAGACATTCTTGATGGATACTCATTCAATTTTTGCCTAGTTAGCTTACCATCTGCTTAATAACAGAAAAAATACTGACTTTTATAAGACATTCTTCATGGATACTCATCCAACTTCTGTAAACGTTAACTAAATTAAACTAATCGGCCATTAGACTACCACATTTGGGACTTAACATTTGTGTCATGCTTTTAAATTGTGAGCTTAGCACGCGTTAAGTTTTAACAGAGTGCCCAGTTTATGCTTAATAACAGAGAAAACGAGGATCTATTTCCTAAACTTATCGAAATATCGATTTTTAAACGAGTCTTCTTTCCCTGCTACTCATTAAACAGTTATATAGTACATATTAGAGATGAGATTTTTGAGTTTCGTTTACATTACCTGCATAAGCGATTCAGACAGATAGTTTCTTAACTCAATAATAATGTATTATTTAATACCCTTAAAGAGAAGCCTCAAGGATGTCCAATCCTTGAAGAAGACATCCTTTTAAAGTCGATTAGTTATAATTACAAGATATTATTTTGTAAATTAAATTAATACATTCTTCTTCAATAGGAAAAATCCCGCTCTGTACTTCGAGACTGGTACTCGCACAATCCATATCCATCGCCGAGAGAGAAACGCGATCTGGCGGAGGCCACAGGACTGACCACCACGCAGGTGAGTCGATTGGCGATGCCAAAAACAGAAATGAGACACAGATGTCAAACGCATCTTTTGACAAATTTCAATTGAAATTCCTCGCGGATGCCGTCTTCCACATGTTAATTGCATCTCATTAATCATAGACCAGATCTGCGAGTGTTTACAAATGTCTAAGAACTATTTTTAATCTTGCAACATTATGCACTTACAGGTTTCCAATTGGTTCAAGAATCGACGACAAAGAGATCGAGCTGCCGAACATAAAGAGTGAGTTGAAATTAACATATATACATATATATAATCTGATATCTATACTGATTTATGATTCACGTGGAAGAGTGAGATATATATCCACAGCTTACGTATAAATAGGTCTATATATTTATGGTTTATCTGCGATATAGCTGACAAGTGTCAACGCGTGCAAGGCATCGCGAAAAATAATATATTAATTTGCATTTAAATTTTCAATTACAAAAGCTGACGGCATTTACTTTCAAGGTCGTCGGGTGGGTGGCTGGTGGAGGTGATGGTGGGGCTGGCTAATTAGTGCCAAGGACAACACGCAACTGCCACACGCTGTGGTAAAAAGAGAGGGGGTTGGAAACCAAAAAAAAAAAATTAAGAATGAAAGAGCCGCTGACAAAGTCATTAACATGTTGTTCCAAATTCCAAAATGATCCTCCTATATATTTATTTTATTTTTATTTGATTTGTTGATGTTTGCCTTTCGGAATATGCATATCTCCGGCATATGTCTCGCAGGCCTCGTCACTAATTAAAATCCCCAGTCCTGCCAGTCCGCACCCTTCCTGCTCTCCCGGTTCCCGGTTTCCCCTGAACATCTGCATTTCCGCTTAAGCAAATAGTTGCAAGCAGTTGTGTGGCACTCCTTTCGGATGTTTCCTCTTCGAGTGGCAAAGATCTCTGCCCGGCGATAGGAATTATTTTCTCAAATATTAAACATCCTTTGGCCGGCTAGCATCCTTTTGTTTGTCCTTTGAGCTGGCAGTTTGGGTCCTTCTGCATCTTCCATGCCGCTGAAAGTCATGTGAAGTGCAAACAGTCGGAAAAGTGAAAATGGAAATGGAATTTCTGAAGTGGCGGCATTTCCCCCACACCTCTTCAGTGCTTCACCCATTCGGCCAACTATCATTAGCTGGTAAATTGCCAAAAAGCCCGAAACTTTCGCCAGGATAGTTCCATTATGCTAAATGGTATATCACTTACGGCTCCTCTACTCCGGCCTTTGGCTCACGAACGGACGGCGAGAAGCGAGAAATTGTCGTAATAAAAATGGAAAAAATGGTAAAAACAGAAATAATGCAAAAAATATTATAAATTGGATGCCGTGGCAACCGCAAGGCGCACTCACACACCCAGACGGCTGACAAAAGTATCTCACAGATACACGCTCGTTCTCGGCGATAGTTCGCCATACACTGCCATACACTGCGTAGCTCCCTCCTGCCACTGCTCCTCCTCCTGGTGGCCGGTAACTTGATATATGTTTATGGCTGTTGCCTCGATGAGCAACTCAGTGTGCTGCTACTTTAACTTTTCATATTGTTTTTTCCTCTCCGTTTTTCGTTTTTCTTTTTCATTTTGCATGAGGGTGTGTGTATCTATGTTCCATGCAGCTTTGTGGCAGCCAGCAAACCACAACGGCGCCAAATCTGAATCTAAAGCGGCACTTTGAACAGCCCAACAACTGCCAAAGTGGTTATTGTTTGAATAGGCACTACCTTTGCAGGGCCACGAAGAATGGAGAACAGATTTTCTAAATACTCGTACGTAGGTAGATGGGATGATATGGCTCAGAACTACGCCTGGGTGATCTAGAATATAGACACAGGACTAGATCGAATTAGTTTCTAAAAATAACTATCTAACTAAAAAGTTTACTCTTTGGAACAGCTTTCGGATCTTGTAGATTGTTTTCAATGCTCTCATCTCTGATAAATTTGATTAATTTACAATTTAAAGATTGATTTTTCGAAAAAGTCAACAAAAAATTATCAAATATATATTCAGAACCTCTGTATAATACATGCTTAAGTTTAAAACTATTTCAAAACCATTCCTCAACCGGAAGGGGCAAATACTGATCGGGTACTTGGCGATCCTGGCTCAGCTGAAGACGAAGCACAGAGCCATGCGCATATAGTCGACTGTCGAAGATATGGCGGTTATAATGACGCGGTATCTGTCGATGTACATGGTCACGAACAGCATATACTTCTTGTTGGTCACCTCGAAGCGCCACAGTTGAGTGGCGGCCCCCAGAAGGTCACAGTTCTCTGGAACTACCAAGCCAAAGTGCTGCTCTCCGGCGTACTGAAATATTCCATAGTAGAGAAGCAGGACCACCATTGGGTAAAGGATTGGCAGCAGGATGAAGAAGAGCACAACGCAGCTGTAGAAGAACTTCAGAAGCGTAGGGAAGGGCAAGGGTTGTATCCAGGTGTCGAACAAGTGCTCCACCAGCGGCTGCATATAGTACACCATCCTTCCAGGCTTCGATACCGTATTCCACTGGATGAAATTTGGACTATTAGGTCATAACTTCTACTTCTGATTCGGAATTTGGGAACATTACTCACCACTCTGCGCTTGTGGAACGCCTTATTCCAGGTTTTTTGCATGTTTTTTTGATTTTACTAAAAATTTAATTAGATTTCGAATAAATTTTGAAAGAACTTTGAAGTCACAGTCTACTTAGGGCTGCATTTCCAAAGGCGTTGAAATACGGCCAATAACAATATCGGATTTCCATGCTTTGTTTGATTTGAAGTTGGGTGAAAACTTTAAAGAACTAACCCAAACATTCGAAATTCGATATTTTTGTATAAAAAAAGATCTTATAATAACATTTTGGGATTTTCAATTACACAAATAGCCGATTATTGACCCTGAAGCTAAACTAAAATCCGTAAAATAAGTTTCTTAAATTATATTTTATACAGTTTGTAAATGTGAAGAAAGCATTTTTGATATTTTAATATTTTTCAGTGGTGTAACGTTGACCTCTTTAACCGAAAATTCCATAAAATTCATATCAAAAACTCTTAAATCGTAATAGAATAAAAAACTCAAAAGATTATGTTAGCTACCGATTTTTGTTAGTATTTCAAATCAACTGTTTTGAAAACCTTTAAAGATTTCTGGTTATTTCTGGAATGTATATCGAATGGAATCCGATGCAGACTTAGAAAACCTTAAATCTTCTCATATCTCTCCTTGAACAGACTACGTTCTTAATTCTATAAGATTCTTAATGGAGAACTTAACTAGTTAATGGAGAAATGTTATCCTGATCCCTAGACCAAGTCAACGTAGCAATCCCTGAATCGATAAAATGTATTAACATCTAACCCAGGACAAAGATGCTCTTTCTTTGATTTAAGGAATCCCTCCCATTGAATAGATATACAGGGGCCATCTCAACTGGAATTGATTGATCTGCCTGGCATTATGGGCCATTTCTACGGGAATTTCAGTACCTCAAGGCTTCGTCCATCCCTGTCGCACAACTGCTCGTTCCCACTCGCACAGTCCCAGTTCCAGACACCTTCCTCTCCTCTCTCTTTCTCTATATACATATGTACTACCGAGGCGACCCAGTCCGAGTTCCACTTCCAGTTCCAGTCCCAAGTCCAACCCACTCCCCTTTCCCTTTCCCTGTCCCTGCCCCTACCCCTCTCTCTCCGCACAAAATCCGCATCTCCCCCAGACATCGTCATCATTCTGCGTTCGTCGAATGCCACGGTTGGCTGGAGGGTAGCTGGCCAGGGTATCGGGTTACCACAAAATGTGCGTGTGTTCTTTATTCGTTCGCCCGGAGAACCCCTCACTCCTCACCCTGGTCCCCTGTCCCCTTTCCCCGCCAGCACGTTATTCATTTTTATTCGTTTTATTGTACATTCTGTTTTTATTATTATGTATTTTGCGCTTTTGCCCGTCTGAGGCCCCTCGCTCTCTCCTCCTTGCTCCTCTGCCAATGCCTTTGTGTTTGTTTTCAGTTCCTCAGTTCGGTTCCAGTTCCCTCTCCAGTTCCCCTTACCGTTCCCTTCTGTTCTCGTTCTCATTCCTTTTCCCATTCCCTCTTCCATTCCCATTCCCTATACGTGCCCTGATGGCGTTGATAATGATGTTGTTGGTGATGATGGACCGGTTGGTGGTGCGGAATCGCTCGGAGGCGCTTGCCATCCACATTGACATCCACGGCAGCCCATCTCCGCACATCTCGCTTTTCCGGGGAGTGGGTGTCAAGTGTAAACTCTCTTGACAATAATTAGATCTCATCTGGAGCCTCATCAGACACAAAGTATGAAAAGCTCATCGGAATGGGAAATAAAGTACATTGTTTATTTTTTACATATATTTATATACGTATTTATATTTCTATGCATATTTTATTACCTTAAATAATCTTAAAGTGGAGTCCTTCTTTGAATTCCAATGGTTTTTGATATGGCTCTTATGGCTCTTAACGTAAAGTAACTAATAAATTTCTCCTTAAATCTTTACATTTATCATTACAAAGTGGTAAGATTACTATTGTTAGAAATGTAAAAAAGACTTGTTTTGTTTCTGCTGTTTAGCTACTCCTCCAACTTGACCTCAGCAGAGGTTTTCTAAGGCTTCCTCTAGCTACAGCCGCCAAACACTGTAAGCCTCAAAGTGCTGAAAAGACTTGGGGATTACATAAAAGTTTGGTTAGTCAGCAGGGGGGTTGGAATCTCGACGTGTCTCCTATGTCAGGTACCATCTGATTCGCCTCGGGCAGGGCAATTAAAAGGCCACAAAATTATAAAAAACTGTCAAAACAATCCTCGGCCAGCATAAAATGCTCCACACGCTCTACGTACTTCCCATCTCCGAGTTTTTGGGATGTTCGGCGTACTGATAATAAAATATCTTATAACGATGACAGCGCTGGACTCGGACTTTGGGTTAATCTTTGGGATCTTACATAGTTGTAGACAATGGCACAATGCCCGGGCAGACGATGGCTAGACAAGAACGAAAACCCCAAGCCCCAGGTGAGGTTAGTCTTGCCCAGTTAATTCCCCATCCTCAGCCAGCGTTTGTGAGTGTCAGAGGGTCGCCAGGAACATTAACAACAGCCACACACATGCGTAAATTAAATGATAATTTATGATCAACACCTTTTCAGATTCCACTTATGGATCGCTGTTCCCCGTTTAGTTGGGTGTCCTGCTGAGCACACGTCCCGAGATTTGTGTACCGATCGCGCAATGCGATAACTCAACCTGTTCGTTCGCCCCGATCTTCCCGATCTCCCGATCTCTGCGATCCCTGAGCCCCGTTTTCAAGGGCCTGAGCCTGGGTCTGGGCCTGGGCCGTTTGTTTGTTTTTTTAGGATTTATTGGCTTATAATTTTTATTAGCAATGGAATTCCTTGGAAGCCCCAGTCCTGAAGTCATCCACCATAACCGTTTGACGGCAGTCCTTGCCTCTCCTCCTCTCTTTCGTGTGAAAATCATGGGGTTATGTCATACGACGATAATCTTTGGTCTTATTAATTTGAAGCTTATCTATGCCAAATAGAATGATGTCTTTTGATAAGTTATATCAAAATTTGCGATCAAGCTAAGACTCGAACTTTGTCTTGACCAAAACGTTTTTCAAACTTTTCTATTCTGTCCCTTTTGCATATGAAAACGCGAACAACTCACTCACGTGGCAAACTCGTTTCTGGGCCAACTCCCCTCCCTCAACGTTTCCAGTTAAACATAATCCGATCATGCATTATTACCAAGCTAATGAATCTGCTTAAGACAGACTCTGGCCGAAATGTCTGTGGCTACAAAAAATCAATTGAGCAAACAAGTAAAAAATTAATTCCCCCTCACTGGGTACAGACCCAAAAAAAAGAATATAAAAAATTAAAAGAAAAAAGACTCCGGGAAAGAAAAGCCCGAAGAACCTTTATTCAGGGGGACCACACACCGCGTTGGAGACCCAAAACCTGCTTCTTCTTCTGCTCCGACTCTTGAATTTTGTTATAAACTTTATGTGACATTCACTTCTGGCCCAGGGAGTTGTCCTTGAGACGACTCTCTGCTCCCGTTCGATGATGCCAGTCCATGGGACCATAGGAAAACCGAACTGAGCCAAGGCATTTGTGTTTATAATAATGCAATCACTGGAAATGGGGATGGGATGGGTATGGGGATGGGCTTGGGCTTGGGCATGGACATGCCCACAAAAGTGGGCGCTGTCTGTCCGTCTGTCCGTCTGTATGTGTTAATAAGTGTTGCCGAGCCGAAGGAGAGGGGCAGCACTACGAAACTGTGGTAATTCGATATCATTGTTTATATGCTTCTGCTGCCTTTTGTTTGCTCCCCACTTTTCTCTCTCTCTCTCTCTGGGATGGGCCTTTTCTCATGTTTGGTGTGCTTAGGCCATCGATTTTTGCCCACGACGAGCGTTACTTTAATGTCCACATTCAGTCCGAAAGCGGGTATTTCGGGAAATTGGGGGAGTAGTGTCCATCAAAATCATATGTCTTATGGTTTCTCGCCCACCCCGCTATGATCACTGGACCAAGTTCAAGTTCATGCAAACGCTGCAAGAAATAATGGCATGACATCGCCGTTGGTGGCTGCCACTCGCGGGATACAATCTACAATTACATGATTGCCGATATCGTACAGCTGCGCCGTATGTGGGCTGCTCCTCCAACTTCTCCAGCTCCTCCTTTTAGAATCCGCAGCAGCTGGGGAAGTGGAGTCAGCAAATAACTTGGAGGTGTATCCGCCGGGCAAGAGATCGGTCCTGTCCTCCGTCTCTGTCCCATTGCGACCGATCGCAAATTTGTCGAGTGTGCGCTTAAATGTTTTGCATTGCCCCGAACGAGGCTCGTTGCCGGTTTCGATACCCATACCCTCATACCCTCGGTCCGGTTTCATCCGCTGACCAAATCAATTTGTTGCTTTCGACTTTTAATCCTTTTAATTAAACACATGTAGTACTTAGATATAGTTACTTTAGGTTACAATAGAAGTTCACAGATGCCATCATATAAAGTATCAGAAGATGTTAATAATTAAGACTAGTGATCCTTTATACTTATCAAAGACATTTGTAGTAGTTCAGAATTCCTCACAAGAATCTGCAGAGGAAGATATTTAAAGAGGGTATCCACGCTTTGATAAGATGATTCCTGTTGCTGCCCCGTGTTGTTTGTTGATGTTACCCGTTGCTGTCATCAATTTTTTTGCAAACTGGTTCTGCGATGCGGCTGCTGATAACCGATTACTGATTGTGCTCGGCCATGCAATTGGCGACAAGATTAACACTTTGCCGACGATGATTGCCGGCGGGGAGGAGGGGCAGTTGCTCGAGTTGCAGGCTTGTTATGGCCGGGTATTAGCCATTACCAAGTGATTGTGATTGTGATTCCATCCCCCGGGGGGCCGTCTTACATTAACCCTAAAGTGCGGTCTGGGGTTGGCTGCCATTCTAATGCCATTTACGGAATCAGCCACATATAATAAAAGTCAAGCTACTTAGGATTGTATTGGGCTATGGCAGCACCCCCAAAAACAACACTCGCACCCACTTGAACCCATGGCTGGCGACGAAGTGAAATCAGATGCTTCATATCCGAATGCTCTGGGGAATGCATGCTCTCCCTGTTCCACCAGTCATCCGTCTCGCTCGGGCAGAGGACCGTCTACACAGAGTCCCTGAGGTGACACCTCAAAAAGGCGAACATGACACCATGTATTGGAACGCGAGAGGCAGACGATTTCCTTCCGGAATCCATTTCAATTGCAATTGCTGTGCCCCTGTCATTTGTCATTTGTTTATAAATAAATTATGCACTTTATATGTGTGGGTGTGTTGACAGCCATAAATTAGTCGCAACAATTGACACATTTTAACGTAAGCGATGCTGACATCCAAAGGCATATGCTACGCCTCGGGTCACAGTTGCCACATTATAAGATGGCAGAGGGTTAATTTTGGCACTTTGAATTAATTTTAAGTGCATTTGATAACCTTAAGCTCGATAAAACACATAATTTTATTGGTTATTTAAAGTTGAATATGTCTTATTAGAAATAAGTTATTTTAAATGGAGAAACTAGGATCAGGTTACATTAACTTTAGCAACAAGTATCAAAAGTTTATATTGTATTTCAAATTTCGGAATTAATCCAATTAAAATTCTGATAAATGTTTTAAAATGTTATAAAAACTCTCCATAAAGGTTACTTTTGGTTTATAACCCTTAATGCCAATAAAGTTAAATCTCAATCCATAGAATCGTTTATGATTCTTTTATTTACCATAAAATCAGTAATTTAGTATTATTACTTAATAAAAAGTAAGGTTAAATCCCAATTTTAAGCTTATATTTAAAGCCTAAATTAAGTTATTTTGTTTGTGATAAATTTCCCTCTAACCATTCAATTTCTTAATTTCATTTGCAGCGGCTCCACGGACAAGCAGCACCTGGACTCCTCCAGCGACTCCGAGATGGAGGGCAGCATGCTGCCCACCCAAAGTGCACAGCAGCAGCAGCAACAACACTCGCCCGGCAACAACAGCAGCGGTAACAACAACAACAACGGTCTGCATCAGCAGCAGTTGCAGCATGTTGCCACCGATCAGAGCCTGCAACACCACCCACATCAGCAACATCCCGCCAGCAACATCAGCAGCGTCGCCAGCAAAAGCAGCAGTGGAGGCGGTGGAGTAGGTAGTGGTGGCGGGGGAGTTAGTGCAGCAGCCGCTGCTCAAATGCAAATGCCTCCGCTTACCGCCGCCGTGGCCTATTCGCACCTGCACAGCGTGATGGGGGCCATGCCCATGACCGCCATGTACGACATGGGCGAGTACCAGCACTTATGATTCTAGTTGGAGGCGGCCGCTGCCGCCGGTGGCAGTGGCGGGGTCACTAGCGGGATCGGCGGTGGGATCAGCAACAGTAACATGGCCACCGCAAACAGCAGCAGCAGCAACATCGCCTGGCAGCAGCGACAGCGCCAGCAGCAGCAGCAGCAGTCCGAGAGCTTCTACTTCTGAGGAACTTAGTAACTTAGCAATATCGCCGGAATCCTTCAGCATAGCAACACAAGATTTACATATCGCTCAATTGCTGAAAGGCTGTCATGACTGGAACATAATGGATGCTACAAAGCCTTCGCATGGCCCAAGAGCAAGCGAAGCCATAAAGGGCTAATAGATGAAATTCCAATGTGATGTTAGGGTTATAGTTAATGTGAAGCGAAAATTTGAATCTTCAATTTACTGAGAAAGCAAACCATATATGATATGATCCAAACATGACATGGGTAAGAGCTCGACCTACCCAAGCGTAGTTTCAGACATGACAGTATCTTAGCAAATCACCGATATGCAATCATTAACTATCACACCCTCTGGATAACATGGCATTTTCCGCATCAAGAGATGGAGAGAACTAGAAATGGAGAGACAAAGGCACCAAGCTGGAGCACAAGCTTTTGGATGAACTCCGGAAGGAATCACTTTAAACCACGATTACTGCATCGATCTGTGTAAATAGCTAGGCTTTAGTTTTAGAGCGGTTGGATGGCCAACCGAAATGCAAATCAAATCGAAACGTGCAAAAATTATATATATATAAACCTACGTACATGCATAAATTATACACTTTTAATTGTAGCCTCTAGTAATTCTATTTTTGTTAAAAATAAATTCTATTAAATTATTTTGAAATGCATTTGCCTTCGAAAACATAAACATTGTGGTTGCTGATCATTGGTAATGCTGGTTATGTATCGCTTATCTTTAAACTACTGGGATTTGATTATTGAAGACTATTTTGAGACAACAGATACTATAGTCATAAGATATCAAACTAATCGATAGAAGTAATGATATTAGTCTTTTGTTAACAAATTACTACTCCACTTCACTATTTTCTCAAGTAGTGATAAAACTATGTCAACACACTGTTAGAGTACCATTTTCCCACGCTTTCGTCGTAATCAGTACCTGTAAAATCGCCGAAAAGGATAACGCCTGCCAGGCCCATTAGCATCGGCTGACCACAACAATAATCCGCGTCGACAGGTAAGCCTGCCAATGCTAATGGCCATGTCTAATGGACGGCGTCGGCGCGTGCGTTGCGTTCTTCCCACAGGCATCCTTTTTGCTCTCAGGGTTCAGGATTGGATTGGAACCCAGGTTCAGGCCGCGCCGCGTCGCATCCTATGTAATGAGTCCTTCGGTGGCCAGGCTCGAGCTCACTTGGCAACGGGGCGGTGCTTGGCAACCCCGGAGAATGCGCAAGGTTGCAGTCGTGGGGTGGATGCTGTCTGACTGGCTGACTGGCTAGCCGAGGGCGGCTGCTCTTTGATTTGTTTATTGATACTGTAGTTACACTCTGCAGACGTTACCGCACCCCCATTATCCTAGAGATTGTGGCGTTGCCAAGCGGAGAAGGGCAGCGCACACGTGTCTGGGCGAGATTGATGGCTCATCTCTGGTTACAAAATATTTTGACTTCTTTTATCCGGCGGCGGCTTTTAGTCGATAATTTAATTAACGGCAGTAAATTGTTGCTCCTTATACATCAGCCGAATTTAATGAGGGGATTGCAATTTTTACCTATAATTCACAATTATACGGCTTGACATGTGGGAATTTTGTGTGTTCTTCTAGGAAAATAGAAATTCAAAGAATATTCATCTTAAACGATGTTCAAATACAATTGTACAAATGTAAAGGAAGTCTGCGAAACGCCTTGAAAGGCTTCAAAAAAAGACAATGGCTACTGAAAATGTGTTTTTTTGTTATCCCATTATTATTTTCTAATCCTCGTGCTGTCAATGCCCTCTTTGACAGTCTTTCTGCCAAAGACAGATTGGTAAACCTGATTGATCAGGAACCTTACCACTCAAACGAAACCCACAATTCAAAATGCTATTTTAGTAATAATGATAATGGTAAGTAATGGTAAAATAAACTTCATTAATCTTTGTACTGCTTTGAATTATAGTTTCGGAAATAGGGCTGTGGTTCCAAGTGTTTCTAAACCCAAATTCGCTTTCCAAAGTGAATGTTCAAGTTATTTTAAAAAATATATATACCATCAAACCAACCGGGGTCTAACTATGTCAGCCTATCCTGAATAAATAAGAAACTTAAAAAAAAATTTTTTTTCTTCTCTTTTACCATTTTTAGCTGATTTACACAAATTGCACAGTAGCTAAAGCTAAGCTAATAAATTAGCGGTAATTTGTAAGTGCTTAGTATAAATAAATATATTTGAATAGAATTAACAGTTTAAAAAGTCAGTCTTTTTTTCAGACAACGTACTTTTAAATGTCCTTTATTTCAAATACATATAAATACTAATAAATATGATAATAATATAATGATAATATTCTCAAGACATTTATGCAGAATAAAATAGCGAATTCAAACTCGACCGCAAACAGTATAAATAAATATCGATTCATCGGCAAAACAACTCGATTGATTTGGCTGAAGTATGACCACTTATATGCAAGATTAGTATATTTTGTATGGTACGGTGGTATTTTATTTTTACAGCGTGTTCTGGCGCACGTTGAAAGTACATTTTAATTTTAATTTCTAGTTAAACATAATGCAGTCAGAAGGAAACTCAAAACGTAAACGGCCCAAGAAGAAGGGTAATCGCTTTATGCGAAACGCCAAGGGATTCGCCAAGCAGGGAATTTTTGGCAGAGGCACTCACATCGACGATGAGCAGTTCAGTTATTTCATCAACATTCTGGATGCCATGAAAGTTGGATTCGAGGACGTGGAGGAGCGAGGTTAGTGACAGCAATTGTTTTCCTTCAATTAGCTTTACTTACCATATTTTTCCGTAGTCAACATGGCCAACAATGTTTTCGAACAAACACATGACCAGGAGATCCACCTGGCCTCCAATCAGATAGTGTCCAAGGCACTAGAAACGCTGGTGGGATTTGTGGACGATGTTCAGTTGGAGCGCTATTTCAATAAGTTTGGCGAGACTCTGCGTCCTCTGTGCTCCGATCGATTTGCCTCACACGTCCTGCAGAAAATGGTCGAGATTGCCTTCCTGCGGGGAGTGGGAAAGTCAGCTATTCAGGACAGCAGCGATGCAGGTACTTCAAGCAAACGAGCAAAGCCAGATGCCGCTCAAGTGGAGGAGGAGTACAACCTGGAAGCTGACTTTAGCGAGGATCACCGTGAAAAGTGCCGACAGTTCGTGCTGCGCATCTCAAAGTTCATGCTGAACAATCTGGAGGACTTTGTTTGGGACACCTGCGCCAGCCATATCATGCGAACTTCCATTCTATGCCTTGTCGGTATGCACGTTCCCAAAATCGCTTTTGAAAAGGGTGGCACCGATATGGCCAAGCATCGAAAGCTGTACGCTGTACCAGATGAATGGAAGGAGGTGATGAAGGAGTTCCCCCAGCGCTTAGAGATGTGGCCACATTTTGCCGACTTTCCCTACCAGGAGCACTCTTCCAGCCTTCTGGGTGTCATCTGTCTGGCCCTGAGTGTGGCGGACAAAAGTGTACTCAAGCATTTCGCCAAAAAAATTCTTACGATCGGCCTGCTAAAACCGAACGATGATGACGAACAGAAAGAAGATGCAGACACCAAAATCGAAATAAAGATCGATGAAGAAGAGGAGGCGAAAGAGACAGAGGAAGGCACTGAGGAAAAACAAACTGATTCCAACTTACCTAAAGTCTTCCACCACCAGTGCTCCGTCGTTCTGCTGGAAACCATTTTGGGTGTGGCAGGATCGAAACTGCTAACCCAGTTGTATGCTATGCTTTTCCGCAACCGCATAGCTTACCTAGCTCAGCAGCAAGGTACGAACTTCTCCATTCAGCGTCTTCTGCAACACATCAAAGAGGTTTCCGACTTTGAGTCCGTATTCAATGAGCTCCAGCCGCATGTAGAAGAGCTCCTTAAAATGGGATACACCGGCGTCGTGTCCGCCTTGTCTTCAGCGTGCCTTCGACTAGGCACGAAGCAGGTCCAAATGATAGCAGCTCTGCAGAGTGCTCTCCACGTCAGCGGTGACAAGGAGAAGTCTAAACTCTTTTTTAACTGCTTGGTCAAGCTAAAACCCTTTGAGATAGTCGGCAACGATGAGTCAGGCTTCGTTCATCTCCACGGTTCGCTTATTGCTCAACATCTGCTGCAGTTCAACAAACCAATCTTTCTGGTTAATTGCATCCTAGACTTGCCCGCCACACAGCTTGCACAGGTCTTCAACACACCCAATGGCTCACATATCGTTGACGCTTTCATGCAGAGTAAATTTATTGGAGAAAAGTCCCGAGAGCGTCTGATCCGGCAGCTAGATGGCTTCTACGTGGACTTGGCCATCACTAGACATGGTTCCCGCGTCTTTGAGGTGTGCTTCAAGGCTTCACAAGATGCACAGAAGCTTCGCATGGCCAAGGAACTGTTTTCCAAGACTAATATGTTGAAAGGATCACCCCATGGCCAGATTATCTTTAAAAAATATCGCCTAGATACGTATAAGCTTTCTCCTAGCCAGTGGCTGGAGATTTTGTCTAAGCATTTGGACTCTGATCAGCCTAAGGAGGCAAAGCGGAAGACGGCAAAGACAGCAGCTGATGCTTTTAAGGATATACTTAGCTAGTATATAGACTTCATAAACAAATAAACTGTTTCTAAAAAACTGTTAAAATTAAATTGCGTTTGTGCTCATATTTTCCTATTATTACAAGTAAGAGCATACAGATTCCGTAAGATCTCTCTTACTAGGTTGTCAAGTTTTACTCTTGGCCGCCCTTATCAGTCCAGTTATAAGTGCCTGAAGTGCACAGACTCAAACTCAGTTCTTTGTTGACTGCGAAAGCTTAGACATGTGGTTGTTGCGCGGGGTGTTTTTTTCTGGCCTAATAGCCATGGTATTGGCCTTCGGAGATGAAGCCATTTTTGAGGATGAGGACATTTATAACCAAGCTCTACCACCAGTTCCCCACACAGGCATTACAGTGCCGGGAACCAAATGGTGTGGACCAGGTAACACGGCGGCCAACTATGAGGATTTGGGCCGCGAACGGGAGACGGACAAATGCTGTCGGGAACACGACCATTGCGACGAGATTATCGAGTCCCATGGTGCACTTCATGGACTCCCCACAAACACGGACTGGTTTCCAATGTAAGCGGAGGCACTTCTTAAGTCCCTTATCGATTTGGTGCACATTGATAATTCTTCATTTGATTTAGCCTTAAGTGCACTTGCGAGCAGAAGTTTATCAACTGCCTGCAGGCCGTGAACAGCATCACCTCAAAAACTTTGGGACGGATCTACTACGGCAGCAGGAGCAAGTGTTTTGCCAACGGATATCCTACATCCGGATGCAAGCAGTACCAGGAAGGTACCTTTCGCAAGCGCTGCATTCGCTATCAGGTGGACAAGACTAAGGCCAAGATTTGGCAGTTTTACGACATGCCGTTCTTCACGATTCCAACAACGACGGGCTGACCCCCAATCGAGGATTTGTAGATAAGAAATTATATATCATTCAGATGGTATAAATTACTCAGCACTTGCCTACTTTTAAAAACATTTTCAGGGTATGAGTTTAATTTAAACTGAATCCCCCAAGTTGAGAGTTAGTTTTTTCCTTAATATCTTTTCATTGTATACTTTTTTTAAGTTTGAAAAAAAAACAGATATTAATGAATTCAGAGGTTTGAAACCTTTGATTTTAATATTAACACCATAACTAAAACAAATAAATAATATGTAAAAATATTTTCTGTACTTTATCGTTTGAAGTTAAGATTTCTCATATCTTATATGAATTACTTCGGATACGCTCTGCGCAGCTTTAAAAACATTTTTAAAAAGCTGAAAACTATGTTTTTAATTTAAATCCAGGAAGACTTTTTTATTTTACAAATTGATAGCACAAAACTCACATTTTTAAAACCCTAATCACATTCAGTTTCGTTTTTCAGTGCCATCTGTTTTGTAAACATTTGAAGCTTATCGCCGGATGTCTAAGTTCAATCCCGGGAATCCTCCTCACTGGCACTTACGTGTGTGTAGAGTGCCAAATCGTAGAACTGCCAGCGCTTTGACTGACCTTCGTCCACTCGGTAGGAGAGACAGCGGGTCTCGAACAAGTCCGCCTGCTTCTCCAAGCATGAAACGATGGGGTGTCCATAGCCAAAGCACACATCCTTGGTGTTGAAGTAGATCCTGCCAAGCGTCAAGGAGTGTCCGTTGTGTAAAGCGGTGAGGCAGCTCCGGAAGGCAGCCTCACAGGCACAAGAGAATCTGCGGGGATTGCACGCATATTGAGCTAAAACCCTTTCCAAAGTGCTTTATTCTTACATCGGAAATATCCCGTCGTTCTGTAGGCCAAATGCTTCTTGACGCGGCGAAATCTTCTCTTCACAGTTGTCATGTGCCCGACAGCACATGTCCACCTCCTTCTCAGTGCCCAGATCATCATAGTTGTCGGCAATGTTTCCAGGTCCACACCACTTTGTGCCCGGCACTACTATGCCCACTCCCACAGCTACATGACTAGCACAAATAAGTGCAAGAAGAGCAATTAGGAAGGAGGTACGGAACAGCATTGTTTACGAGGAAGGGGCTGACAGACAACTGATTCTAGGGGAGTTCCGCAGAGAAGAAATTCGGTAAGGTTATTTAATCACTACGCCGCCGTTTAGCTGCGATTGAACATTGAATACTGATTACGCTTAATTCTCTCTCAATGAGATTAGACATTTCGGTGTAATAAATACTAGATTCAGTTGGACACTCACAAACAGATAGACATAAGTACAAGTGGCTCGGGCTCAGGCCCTCATTAAAGCTCAGCGGTTAATACAAGGCAAGTTCCCTAAATGGATAAATAAGATAAAACTTAAATAATATCGGCCTCTTTTGGTTATGAGGTCCCCTAGGCCTCGCTCTTCTGCCGGTTTTGCATGACTTGGCGTAGCTGTGGGAACGTGCTCTTCGTCTGCGTCGGATGGAGACGGGCACACAGCGAAGTGAAGGGCTCGTAGAGAGATGGCCGCTCCATGGCGTTCACCGTGTAGTGCTTGATACGCTCTCGCTGACACCAAATGTTAGCGCGGTCCATGACCTTTTCGACCGGATTGGGTGCTGCCCGAGCCCGAACATTGGCCAGCACTACGACGGGAATCTCTTTCTTTTCCTTGTGCTTCTCGATATCCGTTTTGATATCAGCCAGCATGTCCAGGCTGCGCGGGTCCATGGGATCGTAGACCAGTACAAAGGCGTCTGGGAACTGAAGGTAGTGCCGAGGAAGTTGCTGCTGCTCACCCTGGAGTCCGGCCGTGTCATAGATGCGTAAGGTCTCCCGAGCTCCACCCCGGCCCGTGTCCACACTAGCCACGTAGATGTCTTCAATTGTGGGATGCAGCTCCTGAAATATATTTCTTATGATGAGCAACCAGTTTTTTTTTGCCGTATCGCACGCCGCCCACTCACTGTTTCCGGATTGACGTGGCCATACACCAGCTGCTCAATCAAAGCAGTCTTGCCTACGCCCTTCATCCCGCACACCAGCACTTTCCCGACCTTGCCGATCTTAGCATTCAGCATTATTCCAGAGGGAGAAATGGGGGACACAAAAAATAAACAAAACTTTCCCTGGGCGTTCGCTAGTGTGACCGAATGTCATTTACGATATATTGTTGCTTATCCGCGAGGTATATATATATATCGATTTCAGAACAACCGCTTATTTTAAATAGGATTATATTAAGTAAATAATTATTATTCCTGTATATCATAAAATAGTAAGTCATTAGGAAAGATTTCTCATATTTACCTAGAGCTTTAAGATCTGAATGCTGAGTTAAGCAAAACAATTGTTTTCCCTTTGTACACCCTTTTTATAATGATTAAAAAGATTTTAAAATTTGTATTTCTTTAACACCCTTTATTTTTTTCCATTAAACATAAATTTTTTTACTTAATTGAAAGAAGACAGTTTTAAATTTAAATAAAAATCTTTATTTTTAAATGACTAACTTCAAGTACATTTTTTTTATGATTGATTGATGATTGTATTTCAAATAAAATATTTTGATAGAATTTCGATTTTAAGGGAGAGTTGATTTGTTCTTTGGTATCATGGGAAGTTTATTCCTTTTAAATAGAAATAAGTATAACTTACAAATTATTATTAAACCTAGTACTCAGTATTTATTCAAAACAATATTCATCATAAGCGAATATCTGATTGAAATTTTGTTTAGCAGCAACTGTGTTGCTTTGATAGCTGAGCTTAATTTGTTCTCTAGTAGCACTCGGATATGATAGCTACAGATTGCGGCTAAGACCAGCGCAATTGGTATCTCAACTTGCGAAGATGGATTCTTGTTTTGAAAACGACATCCCACAAAGGACTGCTGATGCCGTATCCGAGAGTTTGGTGCGAGAAGTGGTGGTGGTGGTGATACCGCTTCATGTGTACAAAGGCCCCTAAGGAAGGGTTCCCGTAGTGCAGGTAGTAGTGCATCATATCGTAGCACAGATAACCGGCTAAAGCTCCGGAAAGCACCACTCGCGGATGCAAAAGAATGAAGCTAAGTGGAGTGTAGATGATCGCAGCAAGAACTGCTCCCGGAAGAGGGGGAAAAACCAGTCGCATCGGATCGAAGGGCACCTTATGGTGCAGACCGTGGATCATAAAATGGAAGGTGCATATCCATTTTCCGCTGTTGCTGCTAAGCTTCACATGAAACACCCATCGGTGCAGGGTGTACTCCAAGAAGGACCAAAGGAGCACACCAAACAAAAAGTAGCCGGCGAATACCGCTAGCTAAAAAAATAAAGTTAAGTTACAAAAGTTTGATTATAGTTTTAAGCCGCTACTCACCTGGTTTCTATCATGCCAGCAGCTATATAACTCCTCCCATCCACACTTTACGATCACTGGTATCCAGAATAAAGGCACCAACCACCACGGCGTCTTTGTACACATCTCCAAATACCAAGGACCAAAGAGTCGCAGTGGTCTGTCCACCGGCTTGTGCACCCACTCATCATAACAGTCCGTTATGTTTGCGATCTGTGGAAGCATGGCCTTCGACCAGTCCACCAAGTGCTATAATAAGTAAATTTTGTATGTTCAGAATACAAACTTTTTACAAATCTATTAACACTTACATATGTAGGTAAGAATCTCTTAGAATACATATGTATTTAAAAAATTGTTCTTAATTCAAAAGAAAAAATTTTACATATCCAACTGTTCGAATTCGCCCTGAGACCGTAACAATTTGTCCATGTATCATAATAATTAAAACCCTTTTTATTTCAATCAATTTTGTAGCAATGGATTATAAAATTGATCTCTTTGAAAAACTAAAGTTATTTATTTTATAGAGATATCCCAAATACCCTTAATTCCTTGTAGTGTGACCACCCACAGCCCGAAATAAACGAATAATCGGGTATCGATAAGCAAGTAGTCACAAGCAGCTGGTTCAAAACTGTCATTTGAACCTGTCCTGTACTTAACACAACGACGTAGTTTCCACTCTCCTGAGTCGAGAACAGATTTGTAGAAGTCCAACACCTAGTTAATAGTCTGGGAGCGGGTCCACCATGTCGAATACTTCAGTTCGCCCGATTCCCACGCTGAAGGGCATGTTTTCGGTGCCGCGTAAGATATCCTTTCCAAACAGCCATTTGGCCATGGCAACCAGTCGTAATTTGTTTTGGTCTTTGCTCCCACAGGCGTCACACAGTCCCGAAACTTCCTCAAGGAAAACAAGGTAAGCCTACGCTCGCTGGAGAAGTCTACCACCCAGAAGTTAGCCGCTAAGGAGCCTATTCGTCCAAAATGGATGCCTCCACTTCGACGCACGTCATCTGAGGTGAGGGAGTCGAAAACTGAAAAACCCCCGGTCAGGGGAAAACTTGGGCAACAAAATTCTCAAAATGCCCGCAGCAACTCCCGTTCACAACACCAACTGGCCGTGGCCATTCCAGCGGATGGAGAACGCTTCGATGGCCTGGAGGAGCGCAATCCCATCTTATATGATCCGACGGATGAGTTGGAGGGCGATAACATTTTAGAGCCTTCATCGGACCCAATGTCAGATCGCTGCCAATCCTGCGGCACCAATCGCAGCTCCACAAGCATCGGCATTCAGACAGAGGACATTACTGACGAGCTGTACCTCACTAATGCACTTAAAAAGTATGTTTCCTCATGCCAAGCTGGAATGTTTCTATAGCGATTGTTTTTCCCTCAGATGCAATGTCGATAGTAGGTCTATAATGGAGGATCCGGGCCTTAAGTACGAAATCAACTACAGGCCAGAACGCTATGATAATGAGGAGGATTTGGAACAGCTGCCGCTCTCAGCGCGCTCGAACACCTCGAAGCATAGCCGCTTCCAAGTGCCCGAGCTAGAGGCAATACCTATGACCGAGGCTGAGCCTTTAAACTACGGTGCCTGTGCCTCAGACGATGAGGCCCCACTAAGTGCCCGTAGTCGCTTCACAACAGCATCCAATGTAACCACCATTACTTCTAAATCAAAGCGTCGTGACCACGAACTGGGTTGTGAGTATATATCGTATAACAGAACAATCTTGGTAGTCTTTAAATTACATTTCGCACAAAAATTTAGTTAAGAGGAATTTCAATCACACTTTAAAAAGTAATAATAACTAATTTAATTTGCATTGACAGCTCGAGATAATGTGCGTCTACCGCGTTACCTGGAGAAACAAAAGCGCGAAAAGGCCGTTGCCAAGCAACTTGCGGATTCCCAGGATCCCGACTGTCCACGTGGCCATGTATTGCTCAGCGATCAGGATCGACTGACTCACCTCACCAATGCCAAGAAACGTGAGTCAATGTAAACATACATAATCATGGCAGCTGCTAAAGTCACTGTATTTAATAGGCTTTGGACAACTCGTCGATGAGCTTAATCACATGCCCATGACCAAAGAGACTTTACGAGTGCGCAACCGCAAAGCGGAGATTGATAGGGAGTTGACCACTGTGGAGGAGGACATTCGCATATACTCAAAGGCAAAGGTCTTCGTGCTGGCCAACAAGTCACGCCAACTATAAGGCACCTAAAATCATGAAGCATTCCATCGACTGACTAAGCCACTAGGAACTAAGATTTCCAAAACACGAGTGTTCCCTACAAACTATGCCTTACGTTAATTATATATTTTTGAGCTGAGCTTTGGTTCGCAGGCAGTCTTAAAAATATTCCGTCCAGCCTAACTAGCGTTCCAATCAGCCAGCAACTAGAGTTACATATTAAAAGAAGCACATCCTACTTACCTCCATGCTCTCGTCCACCTGATTATTGTTCTTATCCTCGGTTTCCCTCGGCCGTTGCCTTAGCTCCCCATTACTTTCCTGGATATCTCCATTATGGCTTGACCTCCTTTTTCGGGAATCCTCTGGGTCGATCTTATACTCCCTCATCAAATACATAGCTGCATCCGAATGTGGGGGAGCCTTCAGAAATCGAGCTGTCATGTCACCGCTGCTAAGACCCTTCAGAGTGTTTATGCCGCCCGGATGCTTGTGCATAAAATTGGACAAATCATAATACTGCTGACGATATTTTACTATGAACTTGTCGTTCGCTTCCGATTCCTTGTGCATATCCATGTCGATGGGCTTCGATTTGGCAACTGCAATTGGAAAAAACGATCGGATAAGACCCGGTTGTTCTTTTGCGAGCATATTATTTTCACAGATTATCTGCTGAATTAATTACTTTGCGTGTCTAGCAGCAACACGGTGTCATATTGTTTAGCTTCCTATTGTTTGTATCAGACACGGTCAATTAAGTTTATAATGCATTTGGATTAGTTTTATTTTAGGATCAGGTTCAAGTAGTTAGTCAATAAAAACACTTAAAATAGTTAAAATAGTGTTAAATTTAATTAGACTCGGTTAATTTTTGTCAGCCAATATGCTGAACATCGCTTAATAGGGGATGAAATCACAAACCCAAATGGTCTATTTTTGTATTTCCTGATCGTAGATGCTTTAAGGGCGAGAGTTTTTAATGTACTGTATATGGACCAGCGCCGGCAGCCAAATTGAACAATTCTTGATAAGCTTTTGAAAATCACAAGAACTGACAAAGCTATGATGTCGCATTCAGAATAACATTTAGCAGAATCTCAAATAACAAGGGAAGGACCGCTATAGTCGAGTGCCTGAACTATTGGATACCTCTTACTCCGCAAGCTATACGAGTATTTCAAAATAATTACGCTAGCAGAGATTAATCCTTCTATCCATCTAAACAATTCAAAATAAAAACTAAATCGTAACTTTAGTATAAGGGATGGCATAGTTTCTGGTATGCTTAAAAACATAAACATATATGTACATATATATATATATAAATTGATATGTTTATAAAAATAGGTACTTAAAAGTCGACCGTTTTTATGTTTACGATTTTTAAGAATAATTTGAAATTAAAAAAACAAGGAAGTCTTTAAAAATGATTACTCAACAACAAATATTTCAAGAATAAAAAATGAAAAACATCATAGTCCAGAGCCATATGTTGCCTACAAGGCATATTTATCAACTGGGAGTAACTTCAATGACCATATAAGGGGTCTTAAAAAATTTGATATATTTAAATTATAAAGTGGTTTTAAATAAGGGAAAATTAAATATTTGTATATTTTTTTTTTGAAAGGATGACAATCTTCGAGTTGGTGTGCCTATAAATGTTTTGGTAAATAATTTAAATAATGGTTAAAATCACATCATTACAAATATTAACCGTCGAAACTAACATTATCAATAGACAGCCATTAATATTTGTGTGCAAATATTTGTACCTAAAACGTGCAATAATTGAAGACCATCAAATGGTGTGTTTTTATAGGGCAAGGATTAAGATATTATATGAATTTACAGATATATGGATTTAATCTTTTTTTTCTCAATTTCAGATACTTGTAGTCAAAACCTATTGACTCTTATCAGTAATTATTTAAATTTATAAGTTGGTCTGGGAAATGTTTTAGTCCAGCCAAGCTTGCAAAACACTTGCTTAATTGTTTCGGTAATCGATGTAATTACAGCGATTAGGTCAAATCAATTCCAGGTCGTAATTGCAACTTGCAGAGCAATGTGGAAATTGCATAGGAGGTATTTCACCTATTTTTCTTCAAGGGGTGTTCAAGTGAACTTGGCATTCCCAATGTGCGCCAGATGTTTCTTTCCGATGATGACTGCCAATGTGGGATCCGCACAAACATTTCCATTATCCACAGGCCGGGGACTTTGCCTTCTGTCTACGCGCCAAATCGAGCGTCGCCATTCTATCGACGATGTTGCTCCGACTATATAGTTTTACTTATCAATGCTGATAGGTGAGCCTGTAAGCACGGGGATTTGGTATGGACGAGTGGGAGTAGACGGGTCGTTTGTCAAAGTCGCAAGTGGTAAGTCCCAAATCGGGGTGTACCGATACAAGGTGGAGCAGGTGCTATGTTCTGAGTCAACACAGGGCTGGGGCTGCGTCACATTGATTAATAGTGTCTATCTGACACCTATGCGGATAGGCTGGGCATTATCTACCCGTCCTTATGTCTGCTCTGGAGACCTTTCTAGTACCCATGGCCGGACCATTGACGGATACATCAAACGAAGACTTCCACTTGTGTTTACACGCGGTTGATGGGTTTTGTTCGGGGAGTGATAATGGTAGCCAATGCTTGTCGAAAACCTCCCAGCATTATCTATCCGGGTTAACCGTGCCCCGGAAACCTTTGCCTACCCATCGTACCGGTCAGGGTGGGACGAGAGGTGTCTTATCACTGCCGGTGACAAAATATTGAAGAATGCCTTCACGAAGATATTTTACTATCTTAACTCATGGGTAAAGCTATTAATATCTTTGACCAGATTTTGCACTATTTAGTGGCAACTTAGTTTGTACAATTTGCATAATTTTAGAGTCGAGTACTACGGAATTATTTATTTACCGAAAACCACTGCTTAGAATTAAGTACTTTAGCTTAAACCGGATTCCAAATTGGCAGCGGAGCCTCGGACCGCACGCAATGCAACGCAACTCACGACTGAACTATGGCCCACCCACCCAACACATCCGTGCCAACGACGCCGACTGCGCAGTTCAGTGCTATCTTCTAGCCTCTAGGCGCTAGTTACCAGTTCTAGAACCTAGCCACTAGCCATTGGTGCTCCTGACACTGCCACAAAATAAGCGGGCCACGCAGAGGAGACGATAAGATAAACCCTCCCGCCAAAGCTTGAATAGTTGTAGTTATAATTCTAGGTAAATCTCTCTCTTGAGAGAGGCAAAGATAAAGAGAGAGAGTGCCAGTTCATGCTTACCGGCTTTCTGGGGCCGACATGTACCGAACCCTTATCGGTCGATTTGCAAGAAACTATATAGTCCACTATCGCGGCGTGTTCTAATTTTGCTAAACAATCCTGACGTAGATCTCGATAACGATAAACGAGCGGGTAGAATGGTATTTGGGAAGTCATTATCAGGATTCAAATATGTTAAAAGATATTACCAAATGAGTCACCATGGTCTACAGCTTTGATTTCGGCAATTAAAAATGACTCACTTGCGAAATCTCTGATCGTATATAAGATTACTTGTAAGTAGAAGTGTGTACTTATCATGAGGTATAGGTACTTCTCATGTATTAGGATCCAATTAAATACTTGAAATCAAATATTAGCACACAAATTAGAAAATGTTTTATAGCGCTTTTCTACAGTAAACAACTAAGGAAAGTTTTAATATAATATCTTTATTAACGTTTATCGATTGTAGACATTTTTTGTTGAGTGCTTTGTATTTATTAATATGATAAGGAGACGTTGCTTTGCACTCATATATTATACATTTTAGTTTTTGTATTTTGATTTTAGTATTTGGTTAAGTTATAACAAATTTGTCAGCCAAAAATTAATTTTGATAGTAACATTACCTATGTAAACATGGAATAATCTTGAATTTAATTTGTTAGATTTTTAAATTAGGAATAAGTATGATATAAGTTAATCTGACTTTTTCCGAAGAAGTCGATTAAGTGGTTAACAGTGAACTGGAAGTTTACAAAAGCCACAATAACAATGTTCGAGCACCAAAGGTGATTTTCTATGGCATCCCTGTGGGTTGATAAACCGCGGAGTAACCCACTTAATTTCTACTATATCTACTATCAAAGAACGGCTAGATGCACTGAGATAAAACTGACTCTTATGATAATATTTAAATACATGATAAATATATACCTGTCAAACGAATTCCTAGGAAGGAGAGTAAGTCCTCGGCTTTGTCAAGTTTAAGGAGACATATCCGTTGCACATACAACACTTTTCGTCCCCGGCCCAAAGTCCCACCCGTGGGAGGGCCTTCAGAAATGTCAGTCTGTGCCAACAACTTGACGTTAAATGGCCAAGCCAAGCCCTCTGGCAACCAGTTATTGTCTACCGCAAGGGAATATAACGGAGAATAAAGTTGATTATACGTGCATCAATCGCCTTCACAGCTACAATATCGACTAAGCCGGGAGGGACTCGAATTGATTGACTTGAGGGCTGGTTCCAACCGCTTCGATAAAGTCCAACCGCGTTGACCAGAAACTAATTACTCTCCAATGTCCCAGAGATATCAAAATCAATCAATTTTGAGTTAGACAGCCCAATAAAGGATAAGTTACTAAACCCAATTTTGAGGAATGAATGTTTTTGGGGCTACTAAAGCATATTTTTTGAACGTATAATTGGGTTTTATGATATGATACCATATCTTATCTAGGTATGCAATAATTACTTTATTCTATTGTAATGCTGGTCTATGTTCTATATATACATTTATGTACCTATAAAAAAGTAGTGGCAAATATCCAAAAAAGTATTATCATATTTATGTGGTTTTCTTAAAAAGTATAACAGTATTGAAAATAAGCACATGTTGAAGAGAAGGTTGCTTGAAGGTGCTATTTATAACATTTTATGATACTTACCTTGATACCTACGATTAGGATTCATAATTTTCGATATCGCAGCAGATGGACGAATAAAAAGTTTATTGGAACCTCACTCTATCTTCCCAAGGGTCTTATCAGCGGTTTATGACTCCCCATGTGGTGAGTTATACTCGTGACAAAGTTTCCCATTGTAGTCAGTTGAAATGACTAACTTTTGTAGCATACTGTTCGGCTTCTTCTTATTTTGTAATGAATTTTGAATTCAATTTTAGATTTAAAAAAAAAAAGTTACAAATAGAGTGAACCTTAAACATCTGTATAAAATTTGTGTATAAAAGGTATAATGTACATGTACATATAATGTGAAGGAATCCATTTTTAACTTCTTGCTATCAAAGTGTTTTTTTAAACAAATTTGTTTATAAGATCTAAAACCATTGTGAGTTTCATAGCTTTTAGAGTTTGCGGGAGCATTGTGTGCCCGAAAATATGCTACATTAGTTGTTACCTTTTACGTTTGCTTTTGTACTCTTATAATTTCATATTCAGGGGTAGTGTTGTAAAAGTACTTTCATATACTGTACAAATAATAAATTAAACAACAAAAACTGTTATACTCACCTCAACTTTTCTTTTAACTAGTTCGGCTCTTTAATATTGAAAAATGGGTACATATTAAGATTTTAAAACAACAAGTACTTATCCAAAAGCATGCCGCATTGCTCAAGCAAAAATTTTCACGTAGTAAAAGTAAGGTAAACAATAAAATTAAAATTCGTGGTTTTCTATTGATTTCCTATTTTCCGACAAGGCATGTTGACTCGAATTCTAACTTAGCTAGAAATTGTAAGGGATCCAAATTTGTAATGCAAAATAATTGCATCCCCAGTTTTCATATTATGACAAATAACCGAATTTTTCGAATTTGGTTTATGTTATAAGAATCTTTCTTAAACAACTTAAATGAAATACAAATTTTAGTTAAATCCCATCCTAACTTATTAACAAGTAATTCCTTATCCTCCACAAAAATTAGGAAACAATGAGAACAAAAATATTTTTGGGACACAGAAAAAAGTCTATTAAACCTTTTTATATTTTAACGTTTTCGTTAGTAACAGTAGCTTAAGTCTAGTTTGTAGTTTATCCAATTAAAACCATATATATTCAAATTATATACTCCCGATCGAAAATTGTTCCCAGCAAGGGTTATGCATCAGTGGCCGTTGCCGTTGGCAGCCAGCTTTGTGGATCCATTGGAGTTGGTGTATCCATTGGCATGGAGCTTCTTTCCATTGGTGGCTGATTCCACGGCGCAGGATTGGCCCAGGACCTTGGCCCTCTTGACAGGAGGCTCATTCGTAATGGTAGCAAAGTCAAACTGTGGATTTGGATGTGATTAGGGATCCCTTATGAGTCCTACTTCGGTTGATTCTACTTACACGCTGCTCCAGGGTCATGTGAGAGATGGGTGGCAAACCGATGCAACCACGCAGAATATTCTCGATGGCGGCGCGCTGGCGGAAGAGAGAGTTGACCACCTGGGAACCCTGTGGCACGAGAGGCGCCTTGCACAGATAGCTCAGCAAGGAGAGGACTGGCTTGAAGGGGACCCAGGGAGCAGATTCGTTTTCTGCACTGCGCAGCTGGATGCGACTGCTTAGTTCGCCGAGGATAACCAGGTCTAGGATTAGGGGTGTGGCCAGCAAAGAGTCCTCGCACGTGTTGTGAATGACCAGGGTATTGTGTCCGCCCATCATAATTTCCGATGTGTACTCATCCATGGCCCGTTTGCTGTCGCCCACATAGGGCACGTATTTGATGACAACCACGTGGTCAGGGTGCTCATCGGGTCCGTACAACAGCTTGTTGGAGGCAACCATATCGTCCACCACATTGCTCTTAGAAATCTGTAAACGAAAAATATTTAAAGAGATGTAGGACTTACAGGATTTTGCTTGATTCTTACCTCCTTCGATCGGAACTGCTGGGGAGCAGAAAGATTCTTTCCATCGTTGTTGCCCAAGTGGTTGTAGCTAGCAATAGACACTGGCTTTATACCAGCTCCCACCAGGAAGTCCACCAGAACGCTCTTGATCTTCGTTTGGCCGGACTTGAAGTCATCTCCTGCAATGAAGACCTGCTTCTCCTCGGCCAGCTGGATAAGTCCAGGCACAAAGGTGTTTTGCGGCGAGCCGTTGATGTATGTGCACTAAGGGATGGAAGGAGGAAGGATGAATTATATAGGTAGATAGCAACACATCCTTAAAAGGATATATATATATATAGGAAGACTTTATCTATAAAACGCTATATCATTCAGAATTTCAAGGCGCGAAAACCCAATTCCAGATTGTGACAATTCATATAACATATAATATATTTCGAAAATAATGGAGTGCTCACCCCCTCAGCGATGCTGGCCATTGCGAAGATCGTGGACGGCGACACCTCCGAGTGGTTGGCCTTCAGCGACGCCAGAAGTTCCTGACTGGTGGTGTTCAGACCCGCTTGGACATCAGAAAAGCGTTCAGTATTGGCCGTCCACAAGACGATGACCGAATCAACGCCGCTACTCTCGCGGAATTCACGAATGTCCTTGCGGATCTGCTCGTACTGCTCCAGCCGAGTTCCACGGATTACATTATCGGCCCGCTCCGACTGGTTGGCCGCGATAAAGTCGGGATCGTAGATAGAGGGACGTGGACGCATCTGAGCGAGTTGATCGTAAATCTGATCCTGCAGAGCCACGTCCAGGACCTCGGCCCTACGCATAGCGTCGCCCAGATGTAGTCCGCTAATGTCCCAGCCGTCCACGACAATGTTGTCGGGTTCGACCATGGGTAGTAACTCCTTCATGGGCACGAAAACGTCTCCGCCGGCCTCGTCAGATCCAATGAAAACAGTGGAGGCCTGAGTGATTGAGCCAAACCAGTTGGCCTCCTGGATGCCTGTCCGCTTGCGCCACTTCAGCTGGCGGCGATTGGCCTCTAAGGCGGCGGTCAGAGTGGAACCGTTGTTGCCACCCCATCCCACCAGCATCACGCCCAGCTTGGGCACCTGGCGACCCGTCCGTATCTTCAGCGCCGTAGTCTGGGGGTGCACCTGCAAAGATCGAGTAGAGATTAGGTCCGATTAGGCATAGGCACAACCCGTTTGTTCTTATTATAGGTCCGGTCACCTTATCGCCATTCCATATCGTGCCACCCCAGTCAGGTAGCCGCATAAATTATGATCGCGTGATTTCTGCGAATCGAACCTGATATTAATACCCCAACTTATTTTTTGGCAATGGGGGATATTTGTGATTCGGTTATCTTGGCAACAGGTGGCTTCTTGATTGATTGAATGATTGTATCAGTAATAAGTACTAATAGTTATTGGGCCGCTTGAAAGTAATATCTGCCTCGATTGACCAATAAAATAACTAAATTAATCATTTTTAAAGTTAAAAAATTTAGATCTCATTTTCAGATTTAACCTATTTTTAAGAACATTTTTAGTAATAGTTTGTAATATCATCAATCGACTTTCCTTTAGTTCTCATTTATATTTTATTATAATGTTGAAACATTGCTTTAATTAATAAGCATCAAAAAGTCTAATAAGATATATTTCAAAGTTGTTTATTTTAGCAGTTCTCGCCCGATTTCTGCCAAGTCAACGTGCTCTTTGTTTTGAACCACAAATAAGAACTGATGAATAAGTAATGATATGGATGATGATGATTGCATTTAAAATTTGGGAACGTGTTGGTCCAAAGTCCATCAATAACTTGTCCAGAAGCCGGCCGGTGAAATTATCATTGGCAGCGAAAAGGGACTCGCTCTTTAGCCGGCTAAGAGAGTCGGTTTCTCTTGGGCGTCTCTCACTGTGGACATCGCCTGACAGTGACCTTGAGGCGCAGCAAGTGTCTGTGGGTGGGTGATGCCAGCAGGCAGTAGGCAGCAAGGGATGTAAACAGAGCACGTACCGCGACCACAATAACTTGGAAATGGGCTATCGGGTTTCCATTTGGGTCCCTTGTCATCCCTATTTGTTTAGGTGCCATTTGATAGACCGAAAAGGCGCCTGCGCCCAGAATCACGCCACCCACTGTCCCAAATAATGACGAGATATCAGCAAAATTTATCGTCAGCTGTTATTTCGAATAATCAATAACTGTATTTGTAACGCTTCGTGTAAGTGGGTAAGCCGCCTGCTTATCGCTATTTTTATCTACTGCGAATCGGGGATTGGTCCCTTGGGACTCTGGGAATTCGGCACAGTTCGATCCTTGGCTAGATAATGGAAAATTTCACTGTCTCTACACTCAGAAAAAAAATTAGCTTGAGCAAAGGTAAACTTGAAATAGTTTCAAAGAAAACTGTAATACGTAGTCTGAATTTAAGATTAGAAAATTAATCTTTAAATCCTAAAAATAAGTGTAAAATCTAAAAAGACGTTTTCTTTTTTTTAATATATGAAAGAAGAGTATGTATTAATTAAAAAAATAATAAGTTCAACACTTTTTGTGAATTTAATAGAATAGAAAATTTTTATTCAATAAATTAGAAGGAGAAACTTGTCAATTCTTTTGTATCTACCTAACAAACTTTTGTTAACTTTTATTTTAATTACTAAATACTACAATATTCTGCAATAAATATTCATATTTTTCTCAAAGTGCTGGCAAGTGCGCATTTGAGCGGGAGAGCATATCCCGCACGTTAAAAAAGTTCAATGTGAAGGTCAGCGCGGCAGCCGGAAAATGGGCTTTTCGCACCCAATTCAATATCATTGAACTGGGTGATGATGGCACACAACTGGTGGCCATGTCCCAGGGAGTAATCCCATCGGAATAAGGCATACCTGCAACTGTCCATCGGCGGTGCGCTTCACATGCGAAGTCTGGTAATCGTAGTCGGTGGTGATAAACTCATCATCCAACTGCACTTTCGGGGAGATGACTTCAAGCGTTGAATTCTTGGTGGGCTTCATTCTGGGCAGTTTTTTTTTAAGGTTTTTTTGTTTTGCTAACACTCTCGTTTTGTTAATTAGCGCGTTTTAAAGTGTTTCGCTTCTGGAATTGCTCGGGTCTCGGGACTTGGTTCTGGAGACTGCGTTGCGGTCGAGGCAAAAGTTCGCGGCGAATGACTCGGTTGAGTGGAAATCGGGCCGTTTTTATAGACTCCCGGTTGGAAAAAACACACTCTCTTCTTTCCACTCATGCACTCTCCACAATGCTCTGCGGCGCACTTAAGGGAACCGGACGATATCGGAAAATTTCCGGCATGCGTGGGACTTCTTCAGTCTGCACTGCTAAGTCCTTCTCTCCATCTCGTTTTTATGCCTGAAATCGCAGTACACTAATTTCCATAGATCATTTTGTGGGCAATTGAATTTATATTCAATGGATTGGTTCAGCCGCGGAAAATTTCCGCCTGGTCTTATTTTGCTTAAGCTTAAATAAGTTTAGTCTTCAGATTTCGTAAAACGAAAAATAAAAAATGTTATGATTAACATTTAGGTTTTAGTATTAAGCATTTCTTACGTTTAAAAATCTTAGCATCACACTTTTAGAATAAGAAACCCGATTTTTAGATAACAAGAAATTATTTATGTAGATTCTAAAAATCTTAATTTTAAATTTTAGAGTTCCTTGCTCTACGATTAATTAATAACAGCTAGACTTGATAACGTGTGATCTTACATACAAACATACATATATATATATATGATTTTGGTTTTAGTAACTGTAACCAACCAAAAAGCTTTTAAGCTAGTTTTTAAGTAAGGAATATAATTGGTAAGCAGACCGAGCTTACAACTCCTAAGCAATATTTTTAAACTTAATTTTACATGAATTTTCCTGAGAATATGGGTTTTCATGTTTTCGTAAGATCAGCTTATTTTACTAAACTAGATCTTATAATCGGATCGATCAATTAGTTAGTAGATTGTTAGTGAATTCTAAGCATAATCCCTTCGCAAATCTAAAAAAGTTGTCCACCACTGAATTTAACTAGGTTTCTTTGGAGGGTAGGCAACACCTTACAGCTTTGGTGAATCTTCTGGAAGCCAGATGCAGGCAAGACTTCTTAGAACTTTCCATTATTGTAGTCAATTGAGTGCGAATAGAGCTCGAATTACTATTTGTTGATCAATCAATGCAGTAGGCCGGTCCGTTTTCACGTCGAGCTGAACAGGGTTGCATAATTGCTGGAGATCAAGAAGTTTCTACACCAAAACTTTTCCGCTGGAGCAATCGTCAGACCCGGCACATGCCTCAGTGGGCGTCTCGTTTCCCTCACATGCAACACTATCTCCAACTCATGTCTAACACGTAATTCAAAACAAAAAACAACGACCAAATACCCGACCTCCGGTATCAGTCCATATCCATTTCCTGCTGAGGGGGAGACCCTTTGAACGAAATGTTTGCATTTGTATAAAATAAATGTATTTTGTGTATGTGAAGCGACCTTGAACTTAAGTAGCAAATACTTAAAGCATTCGAATATCTTAAAACTTAGGGTACAATGATATTTAATAAATGGTACAATTTCACACTGATGCTATGTAAGCTAGAAGTTTTGGGATTTTTAAGGAATGGTTTGGTTTCATTCGAACTTCAAATAGAGATTCATTTTGGGTCAGGAATTACTTTTCGCATACGTCTAAAATATGTACAATTATGTAAATTACACTATAAGTAGTTATTAAATCACGTTGATCACAATCAGATAAGCACAACACTTTTTCGAATAGAGTAATGAAAAAGAAAAAGTGCACAAAATCAAAACGGAAGCAAATGAGTATGCACTTATTTCTAATACTGAACTAATTATCCAAGAACTCCCACTCGCTGGAGGTGTTCGAGTCACTGGTTGCTGGAGTTTCCTTGCGCAGAGGATCACCAGCTCGCCGAAAGTCAGGTAGGAAGCTGGTGTACTCCTCCTCGCCCCTTTCTTCATCCAGCATCAGCTTCGGCTTTGGCTGGCTTAGGACAAACTTAAGTGGTGCCATTTTGGGCTTCGAAGGGGCCAATGCTTTAATTCCATCCACAGGTTGACCAGCATGATAATCATCTGATGTGTTAAGTGGATTTTCCCGAGAAGTCGTTTGGACACAAGCCTCTTCCAAGTTCTTCGGATAACACTGAATTAAAGACTCGCTTAGCTTGGGAACATGTGCCTGGGCAGCAATAAGTTCTTCCTGGGACAACGGAGCTAGATGCACCTCTGGCAGATCAAGCTCGGCAGCTAGTGCCTTGGCCTTTTCCGCAACGGTCTTCTGCAAAGTAGTTGGACTTAGAGCATCGGGAAGGTGCTGAAGAAATGCTGCCTTCATGTCCAGTGGAGAAGCTAAGCCATTACTATGAGAAAGGAATTTGTTAAAAAAAAGGCTAAGAAAACAAAACTATATATTTACTTAATACACTTACTTTTCCATCTGGCAGTAACTGGCCTCCATTAGTGTGGCAGCATTGGTAAGAGGTAACCGAAGCTCATGGGTTTCGTGGCCTATCTCGACAATTCCCGTGACACTGGCCTCCGGCGGTTTGCAGACGGATGTCTTTCGAGTGGAATGGACGATGGACTGATCAAAATCCATTTGTCCGATGCGACGGAAGATTTCTAAGCGTCGGTCCTGATGACCCAGAGGAGACTCCACGGCCATTTCAATGGATACGTTTACGTCGGGTTCCACCGGTGACAGTTCAAAACACTCCTCTGCGCTTTGGAGCACGGCTTCCGCCTGAAGCTCCACCGGTGACTCAATCTGAGAGTAGTACGAAGATCCCAGAACAGGGACTGGAGGTGGCATTAGCGGATTAAAGATTACCTTGACTGTTTTATTTGGTGGCTCGGGCATAGGAGCCAGGCGCAGCAAAGTACGATCGCCCTCAAGAACAAAAATCTCTTTGCCACACACACTGAAGTCAAGGATCTTTCGGAATCCACGCGCCACAGCTTCTACTTTGAGTCGATCCAAGTTGAGAATGTACAGGGTGGCATCGTCATGTGTTACCATCAGCGAATCGTGTCCATCATATAGGTAAAGCTGCCGGAAGTTGCTGCTGGCCACGTAGCCCACACCTCCGTCATTAGTTTTAGATGATCCACACGGAGCTGCAGCCTTATTGTGACTGTTGGTCGGCTCACATCGTTGTTTGGGGTTTAGGATGGGAATCTCCCAGGTGGGGCTGCGCAGTACGGCGTCTCTGAAGAGCACGGTTTTGGAAACATTACCTTCGGCGTCAGCCACCCAGAAGCGCAGGCCAGGTCGACCGCAAACGAGACTTGGTTTATTTGTTGACTGCTTTTTAAGAAAGATTGCGCCACAGTCGATGAGCTGCTTGCGATCCTTCTTGCCCACCTGGATGATATTCCACTGCGAAGTATGAACGTCGAGCTGGCACACGATGCAACGATAGAGGGTGGCCACCAGTAGATGGCTTTGCTGCACGCTGAGCTGCACGATCTCATACGCCTCGCTTAAGATCTCAACGGATTTGCTAAGGTGCTATATTGAAGGGTTTCATTATGCTAATGCTGGTATTGAGTTGGCAGATGTAGAGCTTACCGCCTGGTAGTCCAACTCTGTAAGCACCACCACGCCTTGGCGATCGCCGGAGTAGAGTTTCATTCCATTCTTGGACCACTCACAGCAACTGACTACACACTTGTGCAAATCCCGAATGGTATAGCGCTCAATGGGCCGACTTCGGGTGCATGGAGCTACAAGGTCAAGGTCTTGTGGTAGCTCCTTCTGTATTTGGAAGATGCTAACCTGCCCGTTGGCGCACCCAGCCGCCACCATGTACTCTACCGAGTTAACAATCCGCACGCAAGTGATACGAGTGGCAATCTGAAAAGAGATGGGGAACAGTGACTTAATGGGGGAACCACACGCACATTCCCGGGAAACGAGAATGAGTCACTACCTACCTCCGCTTTAAGCTTCTGCATTTCGCCCGTGCGGCGGTTGTACCAAAATACTATGCCTGCATCGCTGCCCATGGCCAGGAACTGCTCGGTGGCGTCTACGCACGTCAGGTTCAGATTCGCCGGAAAGAAACCACGCTGCAACCGTGCTGGAATGTGGTCGATGACCTCCGTCAGTGGCGCCCATTCCCGGATGGAACACAACTCCTTGCTGTTAGCCATGTCCTTACTAGGGAAACTGCGCCTCAGGACGGGGATATCGTTATTCCACAAACGCTCTCCTTTTTACTGTGGCTCTCTGTTTTTTTCAGCTCAACACAACAATCAACAAAACCCCATCTGCTGACATCTGGCAACGCCCTCTGTATTCAAAAAGTGGACAGCCCTATTGTGCGCGTAATTTAAAAAAAAAAACAAGAGGAAACGCTATAGTCGAGTGCCGCGACTATAAGATAGCAGTTACTGTTTTACACAATTTTAAAATATTAATTTTGCTAGTGGAAATTCCCAAAGCGGAACCTATTTTTGGGAGAAAGCATGTTGAGTAACTGATAGTAACTTTCACTGCCCATGTGAGGCCTTATAACTTAAATTTCTTCATAAATAGCGAAATTTGAAAAATCTTTGGTAAATCGATAGATATTGACAAAAATATGTTATACAAGGTCAAACGAAAACATACTATATAATATTATGGACGCCACAGTTTTCCGCGGTTTGTGGGCGTTAGAGTGCGCGTGGCCGAATGAAATCTAGGGGCAAGTTGCGGTGGCATTTTTTAAATACGTATTCTTAAGCACAACTTTCTAGCACTTATAGTTCCCGAGATTTTCAATTTTTTTGGGTTTTGTAGGCGTTAAAGTGGGCGTGGCTTCATCGAAAAAAAAAAACAATTACACTTATAGTTACCAAGATATCAAGTTTTCTAGAAAATTCGAAAACCGTCTTTACTGAACCGTCGTACTGAATTTCAACTTTCTAACTCTAATAGTTCCCGAGATTTCAGCGATTTTAGTTTTTCGTGATTTGTGGGGGTGACAGGATGCTGCGCTGTCCAGGGAACCCAAGAATCTTCATGGTTAATCTCAACTTTGTATCAGTTATAGTTCCTGAGATCTCAGAGTTCATACGGACGGACGTACGGACAGTCGTACATGGCTCAATGACTTCGCTATTAATCCTGATCAAGAATATATATACTTTATAGGGTCGGAAACGCTCCCCTCTATCTGTTACATACTTTTCAACGAATCTAGTATACCCTTTTACTCTACGAGTAACGGGTATAATTACGGCAGCCGTCCAATTTTTAAATTTTTACTAGTTGGCAACTCTGAAAAACAGCTGTTGCAGGTGGGATCAATTTAGGGAGTGTATTTTTATTTGTTATTAGATTCCAAAGGAAATCAAATAAACCAAGATGCGGAAATACCAGCAGCTGGTGCTGCTGCTCATCTCGTGCCTCAGCGTGGGCATCCTCCTTATGTACAAAACAGAGAACAACCGTCTTAAGTATGTTCTCAAGTACGTTAACTTCTTTGGGCGCAACGACGCCGCTGTTCTTCGACGTCTAGAAAATGGAACCAAGGAGGATGGACCACAGGCAGTTTTATGGCGTCCCCTTCCGGTATGGCAGGTGATCGGCGACTCCTTTCACGCCTACTCCGCGTACTGGATACGCAACGAACTGGTGGCCGGTGGAGAGGCCCACGTGCTTGTCGTCGGGAAAAAAGGAGCAGTTGTGGATTTCCGATGTAGCCTAGATCTTTTGGGCGGACGCAGTGTGCAGGGAAAGTTCCGCTTCCAACGGGACTCTATCGAGAGCTTGGTGGACGACAAGTCTTCCAACTTCACCAGCTACCACTTCTTCTGCCAGGTGAGCCGAGATTTCGGTCAGCCCAGTAGTGTCTCCTTCACGGATATTACAACCACGAAGAACCCAGTGAAGCTACGTCTGCGGAACATTAAACCTGCAGGCCAGAAAAGCGACACCAAGATGGCAGCAGTTGCCTCACGCCTGCCGGTCACCGTGTGTGTGGATCTAGTAGGCTTTAATATAACTTCCAAGTTCGCTCGCAGTGAGAGTGGCCTGCTTCAGTTCTTTCTATTCCATCAGGCCATAGGAGTAGAACATTTTCTGGTCTACAACTACGACGAGCTGCCCGAGGAAGTGATCCACTTGCTGGACCGTACGAACGTGCACCTTTATGGTCTTCCATTCAACTTTCCCTTTCAACAAACTAACAAAACACTTTCCAAGATTCATCAACTAATTCTCACTGACTGCCTGCTGCGGAACGTGAACCACGCCAGCTTCACTCTTCTTCTCCGTCCCAATGAGCTGTTCTTTCCAAACTCTAGATTCTCTGTCGGCCAGGCAAAGGGATCGGTGCAGCAGCAGCTGAGACACTTCTCCTCCGAAACGACACGCTTTGAACTGGCCACCATGTCCGTGTGCTTCGATGAACGAAAGAAACTTCTGCCCGACAACGTTCAATACGATCCGGAACGAAGATCACCGTACAAAACATTGTTGAACCGCCTTGAGCTGCCGCCTGCACAAATTTTGGCCAGTACGACGGAGGTTGAACTCTCACTGTCAACCGGATTCGTTCATCGCTACGTGGACTGCGACCACGTGGGTAGCGATGGCTTGCACGACTGGCGAAATGCAGTGCGCGAGGACTTTATGGAACATATCAACGTGCTGCGCAACGAGGTGGACCTACTCATATAAGAACTTACGTTAATATTGTCTTTAGTTTGAGATTTACGCATAGCTTTGAGAGATTACATGACTGCCATAAAATGAATACAACTGAGTAACAACTTTGGTATATTGTATATATTATAGACAATTATAGACATCGGATTCAGCCGTATAGGTTTCCCGACTTCACCAAATCCAGTTTTATTTCATAGGTTGTTGCTTCCAACGCTTGGAGCTTTTACGCGTATTTAACTTAGAGTTACTTGAGGCGCTGCATGAGAGCCGCATTCTTAAGGCCAGCCTTCTCAATAGTGGAATTGTCGTCGCTCAGCTCTCGAGTGGGAAACGAAGAAACCAGGATGAAGTTACTGGTTGAGTACTGAGGCCGTGCCCTGCAAATAATGTTAATAAAAGTTAATCAGCTCGTAGGATCTCCGAGATAAGTGGCTTACGTTTGAATGAATCGCCGTATGTCAGAAACGGTGTGCGTCAGATTAAATTGCGCAGCTAGGCGCGAGCCATCGGCCAGACGAATCTGCAGAGTAGTGGACGGTGCTTCGGAATTCAAGTTAATGGCATCTCGGGCACTAGCCTCCTGGTTGGCTGTCTCACCGGGCGACAGTGCCACTGGAACTGTTGAAGCTTCGTTGACAATATTGGCCACGGGACTGCCCAGCTTCTGGCCGGATCCCTTGAATGTCTGCGGAGCTGCCTGACGTTTAAAGTCCTCATGCCGGTGGTCCTCTACATCCACATTGACCATGCGGCCCATCTCAAGCAGCTCTTGCGGAATTTCTCTGAAAGTGTATATATTTTAAATGGGTTTTAAGCAATTCTTAATTTTAATTTATGAAAGGTAACGAAACTTAAAATCAAAGGTAAAGTTGCACTATGATAATAAAAACGCAAAGGAAGGTATTTCAAATTCATTAGTACAAAGTTTAAAGGATTTATTGATTTTTCAGCTTTGCCCTAATCCCTGTTTCACTAATATCGGCTGGATATCATATAGCGGACTTGGATATGTCATGTCAAATTTATATGATTACCGTTTTGGGGGATGCACATGCATTCGTTGCTAAGGTATTAGCAATATCTGCACTCAGGGATGAACGCCACTTACCCGCGCATGACAGTCTCTAGGAATTCCTTGTTTTGTGGATCGTCGTAGTGACGCAGTTCGCCGCCATCAATGGAGAAACCCTGACTCCAGAGCTTCAACACCACTACTGGCTTGTTTTCGCTGCTTTGTGGCGGTTTATTGGTGCCCACAGCCGTGTGATCATTATCGGTCATGCCCAGCCGCATGCCTTGGCCCCAGACGGCGCCACTAGCTCCACCTCCGCTGCCGCTGCTAGTGGAGGGACCCACCTCTGCAATGTTCTGCTCCTGCGCAGAACGCATCATGTCGGTGAGCTGTTCGCGGAAATTTTTACGCTTCGGCGGGCCCAGGACCTGTTGACCGGATCGATCTGAGCCGCCTGCATAGAAGGCCTGCTGGTCGTCATCGCTGGATGGCTCTTTGGACATGTCACTAAGGGTGGCGAATCTAGGGGGAATTCGGGTTATTTTGGGTTTTTGTAGCTTGTTATCTCTCACTTTGGCTTGGATTTGGACGCAGCCGGTGCGATGTCCACTGGAGCTGACGATGAGGCATCAGAACTTTTAGTTGCTTGGGCAGCAGGTACTGCTGCACTTGCTCCACTACTTGACGTCGGCTTGGGTTTTGGATTGTCCGCGTGGCCCACGGATGGCACCGGAACCGGCAAATCTACCTGGGTGCTCCAATAGTTTCCCAAGGCGTGCTAGAATCGAACAATTTGCGAATATAGTCGCTTTAGTTCTGTGTGCATTTGCTGCATCATTGTTGTCGCCGGCTCTGCGATAGCTCACCTCTATGTCCCAGTCGCAGCTGGACAGGTAGAACCTGGCCACATTTTCGTCGGTTCCGGTGATTTCTATGAATTGTGCAATCAAATCGCCGCGCGCGGCCATTTTAACAGTGTTTTTTAATTTATTTTCAGCAGCAAATGATTGACAAAAAATCGTACACCAGTGTGACCCCACGAAAAGCACAACAATGTCTGACCAGTGTTTGCCAGTCCAAAGTAAAATCCCAGACAGTGTTGACAAGTGACCAATGGCAACAAGCACTGGTCACACTAATACCCAGAATTTAAATTTCAAAAATCAGTTCAACTTATAGTAATTTTGTATTGTTTATTGGTCGTATATTATATTACAGCATTCACAATTTAATTAAATAGCAACTAAATAACAATAACTATACATATAACGAAGTATCCAAAGCTTTACATCACCCACCGATATGCGTATAAAAAATAAAAAAGTATTTGGGTTTTTAATCAGTTGAGTTTTTCTGAAAATATAAAATTAGAAACAATTGTAACACGATTTTAAAACTTGAGAGAACGATTTAAGCATATCATATTATGAATTATATATATTTAGTAGGAACCTAAAAATTTCCCATTTAGAACACCAAATGACCCAGTTTTAGTTTTTGTGAAGCGTCTGAATGTTCTATGAGGTTAGTAAAGTGCATGCCCAATAAAGAAACTTGTGCTCCGCTTATACATTTATTGTAAACAATTCCAAAAGTAAATGGTAAATATCCACTGGCGCAGGCTGCATACAACTTTGGGCTCCATCATAGTACCTATTTCGACAGCAACTTGCCCTGGAAATGTGGACAAACGGCGGGTAATATGTATTAGGAGTGAGGCGAGAGGTGTGATAGTGTCGAGTATCGAGTATTGAGTGTGATTCCCAGTGAGGTATATGCATGAAAGATAATCGAACATTTTAATGGGCACGATTCAGCGTCTGGAGCCAGCTTGCTATACCTTCCTTACCTGTAGGTAGTAGTTGGCCAGCACCGTCAATCCGACTCCCAAACCAACGGCCACCACGTGGCTCAGATGCAGGTTGGGTAGCGGACGGCGCTTACGCAGCAGGAAGGACAGCAGCGAACCCTTGCGATCCGAGTAAGGCGGATAACGTGCTCTGGAGGAAAGTCATAAATACAGCCATAAAAAACAGAAAACAATTAAAAATCTGAAAACTCACGATGCCAATTTCTCGCCAACCGCCGACAAATTTTTGCCCAGGCAAGACTTTTTGTGAGTGAACGTCTCAAAGCCATACTTTCCGTGATAGCTGCCCATTCCACTCATGCCAACGCCTCCGAAAGGCAGCACATCAACTGTGGAACGAGGAAATGTTAGTTAAGAAACCTGCCAAACACCCGGAGCATTTTGTTATTTGCAAAATAAATAGCTGCGAATGCAGATTGGTTAATAGAAACACAACACAAAACAACTTTCAATTTTGCAAATAACAAAGTATCAGTAGAGATACTATACTATATATTAGCAACATTACGTCTAAATAGGTAGCTTCTACTGTAACCGCACCAAATCTTTGTTAGCACCCTTAATATTAATTTACTATTTGCCATTCTTAACCAAGTGTTTAAGCGTTAATCATAAATTTTGCCAAGTCGAAAATGCATACATATAAAATCCACCATCCACCATCCACCGTCCACCTTCCGAAACCAAAAAGCACAGAGCTTTAATTAAAATTCAAAACAATGTGCATACTATTTGAATAATGAAGGGTTTTGTTTTACGTTTTGAGCTGTCTTTATCCGTATTCTCGTTGTGGTGTCTAGGAATTTTAGGAATTAGCATTTCAAATATGGATTGCTGGAGTGCACTTAGCCGGCTACTTAAGATTCGTGTAAATAACGTTTAACACCAAGTATCGGTGCACTACACAAAAGTCATTAGGGTAGGTGGTGCCTGACTATAACTACAGAGATCTCTTAACTATATACATTATCTTAGCCAAATACCTCCACAGTGCATTATGGTTTCGTTGCTGCAGAATCCGCCGCTAGTGGTGTTCGTCCTGAACTGTTCGACTAGCTTATTCGAGTTGGAGAACACGTAAATAACTAGTGGTTTCTCTCTAATTACGGGGATTGGGGAGAACATTATAAATATAATAGATTAAGTACGATACGGTTAGAGATCCTTGAGCATCGTTAAGGACTTGCAAAAAACAAGAGTTACACATTAAAGACAAAAACAAGTGAGAATTTCCAGATCTGTGCGAAAGAATTTCGAAGATTCGAGAAATAATACCAATATACACAAACAGATCTGCAAATATCAATGATATATATATACAGATGTATGAACAATGACTAGTGTAGAAGGTGTAGCTACTAAAATCCGCTGGCCTGGAGGTATCAATTCATCTACAACAGGGGAGCTGTATAAGAATAATTTTAATCACCGTCACCAAACAAGGCTTTATAAATTACAGGTATGCAGAGCACTTAGCAAGTTGGGGAGATTTAAGATTTGAGATTGGGAGAAACCAAAACCGTAGAGGACAAGCAAGCAACGGACTACACGCCGAGCAGCCGCATTCATTATCATTATCATTATCATTATCCACATCCATTAGCATCTCGATTGGATTGATTTAAAGGTTGACTGGTATACTCTCTTACCGGCGTAGTGCATTATCGTGTCGTTCACGCACAGTCCGCCCGACTGGGTGCCGTTTATGAACAAATTCTGAACCTCTGTTTCCGACGTGAAAATATACAGGACAAGTGGACTCTCTCTAAGAGAAAAACATTGCGAATCGGACATTGGTTGTTGTAGTTTGTATTCGTGAGGTGATTAAATGGTAAACGGGCAACGACAATGGACTGCGGGGACTTAGCTTGGCCCACGGAATGGCATACCTGGCATTGATGAACTTAATGGCATCGTAGGCACTCTCTACATTGAAGATGGGCAAGATGGGGCCAAAGATTTCCTCCTCCATAATAGGATCAGATTCCTTCACATCCACCAGGATAGTGGGCTCAATAAAACGCTCGCTGACATCGTAGTTGCCACCGACTGCCACGCGACCTGACTTCATCAGACCAAGGAGGCGTCTAAAATATAAAATTATATTGTTATCATCTTTCAACCTGTTTCACATAGATAAACCTACTGGAAGTTGTTGGCATTGATCACGCGACTTAGATCCGGACTGCTCTGGATATTCTCGCCGTACCACTCCTTTAGCACGTCCTTGGCCTCTGCAATAAACTTCTCCTGCACCTCCTTGGAGCAGAGAATGTAGTCCGGAGCGATGCAGGTCTGTCCGCAGTTGATCAGCTTGCCCCACAAGATGCGTTTGACAGCAGTACGCAGTTCCACCGACTTGTCAATGTAGCAGGGACTGTAAATATTCCATTAGTTTTTTTGGGTTTCGTAAATGATGATCAAAGCGGGCTCACCTTTTGCCACCCAACTCCAAGGTGGTGGGGGTTAAGTACTTGTTGGCTGCAGCGTGGATGATCTTGCCCACACGCGTAGATCCCGTATAGAAGATGTAGTCGAAGCGCTGGTTAAGCAGCTCAGCAGTTTCGCTGGGTCCACCGCAGACAACTGGAAAGCAGTCCTGAAAAATTGAGGTATAGTAATTAAGCTTTAGTCACTTTTTCAACAATTTTATATAGTTTGCTAGTACATAATGAAAATATGTATAAATCTTAATTGATAAATTTAAAAATGACATTGGTTATAAAAACAATCAAGCTTGGATTCGAAAACTTTTCAAATTGCATTCGCCTCATAAATTTCACAGTAATTCCCTTGCTTAGACTGCTGTTTTAAAGTTAATTTGGTCACAGCTAACATTTCCAAACTCTAAACTGAATACGTATTTTACGGAATTCTGTACAAACAGGTTAATGCGACACCTCAGTTTATGTCGAGCTGTTTCGGTGCTTGGGGCTTAGCTAATTTCATCAGATGATTCGGCAGCGATACTCACATTATCCAAATATTTTGGAATGACATCGGCAATGAACTTGGCGCAGTTGGCGGCAATCTCGCTGGGCTTGATCACCACACAGTTTCCGGCGGCGATGGCGGAGGCCACGGGCACTAGCAGCAGCTGCAGTGGGTAGTTCCAGGCGCCGATCACCAGGACAACGCCAAAGGGATCATTGTAGATCTGGACATCGTCCATCAGGTTAACAAACGACTTGGAGGGCTAATCAGGAAATCAGAAAATTGCAAATTAAGGAGAATATTTCACAATACTGCATTGAGATATAACACACCTTCTCCGACTGCACCCACTCGTCGAGGTGGAACAGAATGTGCTTGATGTCGTTCTTCATGAACTCGGTCTCTACGATGAGACTCTCCTGCTTGGGACGCCGCAGATCCGCGTCCAAGGCGCTGATGATCTCGTTCTCATGCTCCTCATAGCAACGCAGCAGATTCTCCAGCTGCTTGCGTCTGAAATAAGAAGCGAAAGCGGAATCCAAATCCGAGTCCAAAAAATGAAAAATAATTAATGGACAAATGATGATGATGATGGGACAAGTTCCGCGGTAGGAGCGCGAAACAAAGACCAAAACAAAATCAATACTAATCACAATGCACGAGAGGCGCTTGGGGAAGGTCAATGCTAGTTATACGCCCGGTTATGAGAAGTTCTACGTTTGTGGCTCTGGTGACTCAACTCTGGGCATCAGAACCGTGGAAACCGGCTTGACAACCCGATGGTGCTCTACTTTGACCTGACACACGGCTGGAGATAATCGCAGTGCCCGCTGGAGGAGGGAGCCAGTCAAGGTGATCCGGAGCAGCAGGTGAACAGCCCCGGAGGTGCACTTGCAATTCAATTGAAATATTTGCTCATGACAAACATAAAGCCATAAACAGACAGCCGATTGCCGATCGTTGTGAATATAAATAAAGCAATTAGCCGCACAGTGTCCGATATAGTGGCCCGTATTGGAACTACAGGAGAACTTGCCTAAATCTTAACTACCACTAGACATTTTATAGCTTTTCGTGAACAATGTTACTGAACTCAACACACATTATACTTTTAATACAATATTAAAAATAGTTACTAAATATTCTCGCATTAAATAATTGGTCTGTTTATGACCACAACGAGTTAAAAGTTTACTGAACACAGTCATAGCAATTATAATAAAATGCAAATATATATAT